TCATTCAGAAAATGTTCAGTGCTATAGGTGGCCCTGAGCATTTCAGGTGCCAGTCAAGGATTTGGTTCGCATCTCATTTCACGTCCGATTTGTCCAGGCTCATAGTGGCATTAGAGAGTACTTTCTAAAAAACAAATTATTTCTTTCTCTTTTGGCCTTAGGTATGGAAAGGGCTTAAGTAGTTCACTGCCTTCTTCCTGATGTTAAAGGGCAGGAGCCTGCAGTATCTGGCAGGTGGAAATTACTCAGCGGGTTAATTACTGCCCTTGAAAACTTGCCTGACATTTGTGCAACGCATTCTGGTGTTCACCAGCAGCACTTGTGTGTGGACACAGATGATGATACACGCTGAGACTTGTTTAAATTGAAGATTTAGTAGCTGGGTAGGGCATGGAAACAACACAGCTCTCCCTCTTCACCAGAGGCTTTTATTTGCTAGGTAGCTCATAACTTTGTGCTCTCTTCTCCTCTCCCTACTGTCAGAAAGACGTTTGATTTTAGACCTTCTTTATTCTACTACCTGACTAATCTTCAGACATGTCTTCCTCTACCTTCCTTTGCTTCTTATTTCAAGCTCATAATTCCTTTTAAAATTTAAAAGAAATTTTAAATCGAATCACCTCCAACCATTTCTTCTATTAAACTTTAGCCAAAGAGTATCACCCAGTCATTTGGTATCTTTAAGATCTAACCTGACCTCTCTCAGTAAGCTTTCTCCCTGCAGGCCAGACTGGTGCTTTCTTGCTATGGAGTAGTGGGAAAAGTCAAGTGACCTGAGACCGTACACCTGATGGCTCTAGGTGATTGCCAAAAGCCTTTTCCATCCTAATACCTAGTCACCTTCTGCCCTCGTTTCTTTCTATTATGGGTGTTCTTTCATCATTTCCTTCATCCATGCCTTCTAGTGTGCTTTTAGACTCTGGAACCAGGAACCTAGCCAGTAGATCTTGTTGGGCAAATCTAGGCTGGATATTCAACTGTGCAGCTGTAAAAGAGCTTTCGATTTAGAGTCAGACTGTTTGGGGGCTGAATGACAGCACCTTCCTTCACCAGCTTTGTGAATGTGGGAAGAAAATTTACCTCTCTAAGCTTTTCTTACGTTTAAGATTCTGCTTTGTTTTTCTGCTATGCCAAGAGTGTGGAGACATGGAGAAAGTGCAGTATCTGAGCAGATGTTCCGTTGGGAGTTTTGGAACAAGCAGTGGTAGTGGCCACTGTTTACTGTTTTCTACATTCTGAATTTTAGAACTAGTTGATAGAATTGTAATAGGGAGAAAAATGGTGTAGAGAGGGAATGTTGTTCTGAAGAAAGGAGCCTGAACCTTAGGCAAAGATGATCCATCTTGTAAGAAAATTCCTCATAAGCCAGAATGCTTTTGCATCTCCAAGTTTTGTGTCGCTAACAAAGAGTATCTAACAAATACAGGGTCCTGAGGTGTTCAGTGAAGGCATCTAATCTTTAAGAGTCAATGTCATTAAAAAAAATATATACTGAACACCAGCCCAAAATACTCTTCCATTTTGGACAGTAGTTTACAGCCACAAGTTTTTCCAGTAATGTAGCCTTGTGAGTGATGATTTCAGTCCTCACCTCCTCCATCCTCTCCATTTCCCCACGCTTGTGTGCACTTGGGAAACCCGAGACACCACAGAGGTGGTTTGCTGTGGTCGGGTTTACATCCCAATCTTTGTTAAGAATTTAGAGTCAGGGAACCCCGGCCTAACCAAGTCCTGGCTTTCCTGCCCTCATCATCTTGCACAAACAAGTTGTTTTTACCTCTTGTAGCTTTCATCCTCACCTATAAATGGCATAATCTTTGTGACACTCAAGCACAATGCCTAGTTCACAGTAGCCAATCAATAGCTATTGGTACAATTTCTCAAGAGTGCCACATTTCTATTTCAAGCTTTGGCTTCTGTGTCCAACCTGTCTTACTACAATATGTCAATATCTGGGTATTATAATGCATAAAAATGTATAACAATATTCAAAAATATGCAGTATCTTATACTCAGAATTATTACAGAGCCTCAATAATGAAAAACAACTTCTAACTTGCTCCCATTCAACAAGGGGGCTTGGTTCAGGGGCAGCATAGATACTTAAGTTAGCATAGGTGTACAAACAAGACTCAGCAATTTTCCAGGTTATAGCAGCTCTTCACCTACTTCTTAGTCATGTTTTTATTTCTCAATCCCACCTGCCTCCTAATAACACAGCTGTCACTCGTAAGGGAGCGAAGTTTCTGTAATAAATTACATCACCTTCCTTGGGGGAGATGATTGCCAGTGAGTCTACTCCCACTCTCCCTCCTTCCCTCCCTCCCTCTCTTACTGCCTCACTCCTGCCCTCCTAGTCTCACTTACAAATTCCCTCCCTCCCTCCCTCATTCATTCATTTCCTCTCTCCCTCCCTGCCTTCCCCTCTCACTACTCCCCTCCCTGTTTATCAGTTAATACTCTGGGTTGCAATGAACAGAACTTCATCTCAAATCAGGAAGACATTGCAAGTGCTGTCTCTCAGAATGACTATGGCACTGAGCGGGCTCGGGAGAACTTGGGCTTTACAAACAACTGGAGCCAGGAACTTGAATGCCACCATGATTTGATTTTCTCTTTCCAAGTCTGGATTTACCCTTAACACTTCTGTGTAAGCCATTCATTTCTTTCTTCCTTTCTTTCTCTTTCTTCCTTTCTTTCTCTCTTTCTTCCTTTCTTTCTCTCTCTTCCTTCTTTCTCTCTTTCTTCTTTCTTTCTCTCTTTCTTTCTTTCTTTCTTTCTTTCTTTCTTCCTTTCTTTCTTCTTTCTTTCTTTCTTTTCTTTTGGGGGGGAAGGACATATGGCACATATTTCTAGTTCAATAATTTGGGAAAGGGGCCAGCAGATGGTGTGGTGGTAAAAGGTGCTGGATTCCCACATGGCTAACCACGATTCAGCCTGGACCTGGTGGCTTGCTTTCTCATTTTCTCCCTCTTTCTCTGTGTTTTGCTCTGGTCAAATTAAAAAATAACAATAATGAGGGACCAGCAATTAGTGTAATGGCTATGTCACTGAACTCCCATGTAGCTGACTGCAGTGCAAGTCCCAGACCTGGTGGCTTAAACTCACACTGGACGTGTGTGCGTGCATGCCCAAGATCCTGAGAGGAGAATGGAGGAGAAGGGATTGCAGTGTGGCCATCCCCTCTGGGGGGTGATTTCTTACTTCCTATCTCTCTGTATCTCTCTGTCTTTCTGGTGAGCACACACACCCTATAGCAAAAACCTCTCCCAAAACAAACAAACAAAAACCCAATAATGATAAATAAAATAAATAATTCTTTAAAAAATAATAATTTGAGAAAGAGACACAGTGATATAACTTGGTTCAGTCAGCTATGGCCAAGAGGGTGTGATCATGTAAAGATAGGGTGGTACCTTCAGGAATATTGTATGGATGGAATGAGGAATCAGAAAGGGGATGCTGAGCACAGGGTGCTAGAGACAGCCACATACTCATCCTACCATCGTAGGCAGTGGGCTCTTTGAGAATACAAAACAAAAACAAAAAGAAGAAAGAAACCATTAAGCTGCAGTTGCTTGCAACCAAGTAGTGGGAGGCAGTCTGTAACCAAATAAGTGTGCTAGAGTGCTGCTGGCTCTGTGGTTGTGAAGGTGCTGGTTAGAGAGGAGAAAAGACCAGGTGGTCAGTCAGCTACAGCTAGCCTCTGCCAGCAGTGATGGCTGCACAGTGGGGCACCGCACCCACCATCTGCAAATAGGAGGGCACTTCAGAAAGCTCACGGACAAATGAATAAAAATAGAAGTTCATTTTGGTGCAAATATTTTTGAAATTCATGCAGTCTTCTTTTCATAATACACATTTTTCATAAACTTTTTGATGACTCTTTGATATTAGCTGAGCCCATTGAAACTATTCAGGGGACTAGGGAGAGCCTTGGCATTTTCTGTTTTATTTATTTATTTATTTATTTATTTATTTATTTATTTTGCTATGGGGTGTATGCACTGGCTGGGAAGAGAGAGAGAAAGAGAGACAGACAGGAAAAAATGAGAAAAACCTCTCCTCTCCGAGATGGCCATGTCACAATTCCTTCTCCTTCTTTCTCCTCTTAGGATTTTGGGCATGCACACACACGCGCCTGTCATGTTTTTCAGTTTAAGACTCAAACTTAGCAGTACTTAACCAAAGCTTTTTGTTGTCTTTAATTTCTTCTTTCTATTTTTGCTTGCCCTAACTTTTTTGAGACAGATTTTTGCTACAGGGTGCATGCACTCACCAGAGAGAAAAACAGAAAGTGAGAAATCACCTCCTGGAGGGATGGCCATTACGTAGTAATCCCTTCTCCATTTTCTTCTCAGGCTCGTGGGCACACACACACATACACACACACACACACACACACACACACACCCCTGGGGTGAGTTTGCCCTAACATTTTTAAAAGTTAACCTTTTTATTTTGAAATAATTATAGTTTTACACACAGTTGTAAGACTTAATACAAAGAGATACTCTGTATCCTTTACCAAGGGCCTCTCAGTGGTAACGTCATCTTACAAAACCATTGTATGCTATTAACACCAGGATATTGATATTGATTCAGTCAGAAATTGAACAGGAGCCCTAAAGCTTTAACACAGAATCTGCTTCTCATTGACCCATTTCATTACTTGTCTCTTAGACTTTCCTCTCCTTGACATTCTCCTTTGTATATTATTCCTGTGAGGCAAGGATCCTACGGTCTTATTTTCTCTGGTATGCTGGTGAAATTCTCACTTTGTCAGCATTTCTAGGAGCGGCTACCACTGTTCATTTTGAAATGACTTGCCTGGATGACTTAAGGTGGCCTTAACATTCATGTGAGGGCCTGCTCTGCTGTGAGCAATATTTGCTGTAATTTCAGGCAGGTCACATGAAGGTGAAGAGTAGGCAGGGGTGGTGTGGTAGTCATCCTTTGAAACTTAAGGGCCCTAATCAAAGTCACTTTTACCCCCAAAGGACAGTTCTGCACAGAAGATGTGGATGAGTGTCTGTTACAACCCAATGCCTGCCAGAACGGGGGCACCTGTACCAACCGCAATGGTGGCTACGGCTGTGTGTGTGTTAATGGCTGGAGTGGAGATGACTGCAGTGAGAACATCGATGACTGCGCCTTCGCCTCCTGCACCCCAGGCTCCACCTGCATTGACCGCGTGGCCTCCTTCTCTTGCCTGTGTCCAGAGGGAAAGGCAGGTAAGACCAGCAGAGCAGACCCGGAGGCAGGGAAGGGGCGGGTGAGCAGGACTCCCGCCTTCTTTTTCATCTCATAGCTGTGTTATTCGAGTTACTACATGGAGGAATTGTTCTTCTGGAAAAACAATCTGCTGGTCAGAGCGCTACTAAGTTAGTCTTCTTTCTTAGACTCTCACCTCAACTCTGTGTATGTCAGTTTTTCATTCCAAAAGAAGGAAAATTAGTAACTATTGCCTTTGGAGCATCTGCTAAACTCCTTAAGAATTTAAGCTGAAAAGCCCCTCAGAAATTAAGACAAAAAGAGTAATAAATGGAACCACAGACTTCATTTTAAGAAGAAATAACCTATTTACATGTGGCAGGAGAAAAATGTGTTAAGTGCATTTCAACCCTCAGTGTCTATGGACGCATTCCTTTTTTTTTTTTATTTATTAAATTGATTTACATTCATTCACTGTACATCATTACAGCATACAAAGTGAGATTTTCCATCCAGAGTACACTGTATATTGACTCAATCAAGCACATCAACATGCATGTCATCATCAATAAATAATTTTCCATTTCTTATTTCCTGTAGGTTTTGCCTTTTTTTCCCCCATCCTTGATTCCCTATCTCTTACCCTCTGCGGTCTCCCACTTAAGTGAGCAATGTTACAGACTACAAGGTTAACATTGCCCTAGCCTCCCAGTTCAGCAACTTCTGGTCCTGGGATTAGGAGAGCACTGTATGAAGAAATCTGATGGAAGAAGACAGTTTGGCTGAGAGACTTTCTGCCCAGCAGCTTTGAAACATCCTTATATCTGGGACCAGCAGTTAGTGTAATGGCTATGTCGCTGGACTCCCATGTAGTCAACCGCTGTTCGAGTCCCAGTGGCTTAAACTCAAGCTGGGCACGTGTGCATGGTACCCAAGATCCCGAGAGGATAATGGAGGAGAAGGGATTGCCGTGTGACCATCCCCCCTGGGGGGTGACTTCTCACTTTCTGTCTCTCTGTCTCTCTGTCTCTCTCTGTTTTCCTGGCGAGCACACGCGTCCTACAGCAAAAACTTCTCTGAAAAAAAAAAGTCTTATATCTGTTCCTTTCCAAAAGCTCCACCTCAAGCTTTGTGGAAAAAGCCTTGGTTACCTGTTCTTGCATTAATTGCAGACTGGAAAATCCAGTTCCTATGTCAAAGATGCAAAATAGGAAGCCTAGTAATATCTGCAGAGACCTGGGGGCACCTGAGCCAGGAAAGTTGTTACTATAAAAAGGCTGCTTTAGCAAATGGTCAGTTGCTTTTTCCTTGTTAGGCTAGTGAAACACTAGTGCCCCATAATTACCAGTAACATGATTTGGGAGAGGCAGGATGCCAGTTAAAATATAGGATACATGTAATATTTGAGACATACTTAGATTAAAAATTGTTGCTTGTTTATCTCAAGTTCAAATGAAACTAGGCATCCTGGGTTTTTATTTGCCAAGTCTGGCATACTCTCTGGAGGGTATCTGTGCTTTGCTTGTATATAGCTGTGCTCTGCAGGAGAGGTCTAGTCCAGGGATCAGGGTCAAAGCACGGGGGTGGTCTGGGGCAGCTAATTGCTTTGCTGATGGCTATAGCATGTTCCTACGGTAGGAGCAGGCAAATTGCCTCTAAATCTCCAAGTTTGCTTTTCAAGAACCTGTCATAAGATTTTTTTTCCTCCTTGGTGAAAGGGAAAAGCTCTTCCTCAAGTGAGAGACATTTTCTCTTTGCTCTTCTTTGCCCCACCCTGTGACAGGTCTGTTATGTCATCTGGATGATGCATGCATCAGCAATCCTTGCCACAAGGGGGCGCTGTGTGACACCAACCCCCTGAATGGGCAGTATATTTGCACCTGCCCACAGGGGTACAAAGGGGCTGACTGCACAGAAGATGTGGATGAGTGTGCCATGGGTGAGTACACAAACTCTTTCTATTCCCTGTATCTGTTGAGCTCAGCAAGTATTTAAATCACATTCTAGTCTAGAAGCATGTTATACTCTGAACTCAGATTTCTCTTAATATCTCCTCAGTATCTACAACTAACCTTTCCAACATAACCATGTATTCCATTCTGGGAATATATAGAAGGTCTGCACTTGGTTCTTACTTCTAAGCCCTATGTCATTGACAGTTTTGGCATCACAGACATGCATGAAAACTGAAATTCCCCTAGTCTTTTATCTTCTTTGACATTAAGGAAGAAAATAGAAAATTGAGAGTGAGACTTTAAAAGGTCTTGCCTTGACACTGTGATCCTTGTCTGAAGTTCACATTTAGGGAAAATCTGTCAAGTGCTTTGATCCCCAGAACTGACACTTGTCTCTTCCAGCCAATAGCAATCCTTGTGAGCATGCAGGAAAATGTGTGAACACAGACGGCGCCTTCCACTGCGAGTGTCTGAAGGGCTATGCAGGGCCTCGCTGTGAGATGGACATCAATGAGTGCCATTCGGACCCCTGCCAGAACGATGCCACCTGCCTGGATAAGATCGGAGGCTTCACATGTCTGTGCATGCCAGGTGCGTGGGCCCATTTGTGTGTGGGGTCTGGAGAGGAGGGACTGCACCATGCTTCTCTTAGTGGAGCACTCGGTGTCCTGTAGCAATTCCATGAGCTCCGCCAGCATTTAATTCCCTGTGGTGACTGGGACGATCAGAAGTCAGAATTTCCAGGCAAACCCCTTAGAGAGTAAAGCAGTGTTGGAATTCTTAGCACTATGTAGGACTGAATTAAACAAGCCTGTTAGGTCAAAATCCAGATACATGGAATAGGAGATGTCAGAAGTCATGTACCACAACAGTTCCTTAAATGTAGTGTTTTCCCATCCCTTGATACGTTAGAAATACAATACCATTCCATTTATAGAAATACCATTTTACCCATAATTACAAAGGAACTTGCCATTTGTCCAAAGTGTAGCACATGTTTAGTTGTAATCTGGAGCTCTTCTGCTCAGATATTTCTTGAGTCCTCAGAGGACATAGTCAAATCCAGCTTGAAATGACAGCTGATGTTGGCTGCTCTGTGATGAAGGCTGTCAGCACCCTGGCCCCAGAAGGTCCTCCTGACCTTAACCTGTCTCCCGAGAGCAACAGCAGCTCCAACTCAGCTGGTTTAGGAGCAGAGTGAGAACACTTTGAGCCTGGGCCTGTACTGAAAGTATGGATTGGTCACAGAAAACATGGAGCAGCCTGTTCGGATACACTTTTAGAAGTTACCCCTCTCCACAGCGACGTAGATGCCACACAGTGTTCTGCTGCCTTGTCAGTGCCTTGCACTTACACTGACTACTTCCCATCACCACAGAGCCCGTTTCTCTTTGCAGAAATGTTCATGTTCAGATAGGATGCAGCCGTCTTTGCAAATTTGTGCTTTCTTGGCTGGGATATGCCTTTCTCTCTTTCTGAGCCACTTGTGTGGTCCATTTGTTCAGGTTTCAAAGGTGTGCATTGTGAATTGGAGATAAATGAATGTCAGAGCAACCCTTGTGTGAACAATGGACAGTGTGTGGATAAAGTCAACCGCTTCCAGTGTCTGTGTCCACCTGGTAAGTGCCCACGACCTGCCTCTGTTTTCTTTTAAAGCACAGAGTCCACTGGCCACAGGGAAGGGAGGAGGGAGTGAATGTGTGTGGGCCGTACATGAGGAAATCATTAAAGTGAGTACTGGCCGATAGGACTATGTGTGTGCAGGAGGGAATTTGTTTTAGCTAGTGTGTCTTCTAAACCCTTGTGGCCAGAAATCTAAGTCTGTTTTGAATGGCCCGTGGCTTCTCTGTCTGTGTATATATTTCAGAATGTTCATATCTCACAGAAGCCTTGGTTGTAGGCTGTTTAAGATTTTATTTTTTTCCCCATGGGTCATATTCTTGAAGCCTCTCTGTGAGATTATTAGTTTTAGACATCTTACTCCTTGAATTCAGAAACAAACAATGCGCACCCATTTTTTCCCAAGATTCTCTCCTTTTTCTCCGACAGTTTGGCCTGCCTTCTGCCATAGACAAAGCCATTCCCATTGTTTCTTCAGAGAGAAGGTCCCCATTGTCTCTGAGGCTGCAGTTGCTTGTTCGAAGGCTCTACTTCTAACTGTTTAGTTCCCACTTGTTTCATCTAGAAGCAGAATCTGTGCCATAAAGAAAGGATGGCAGGGACACACTATAAGTGTACCTGAAGCCCTGAGCTTCACTCTGTTATTCCGATTACCGGCTGGGGAGAATAATTCCGTTTGCTGACCCATTGGTATAAGTCCTGCCAGTAACCTAACCCAGTCCTCCTTGTATAATAGAGAGGGATACCTAGGAAAATCCTCTGACTTTTGTCTTATTGTGCATTTTTAAGGTTTTACTGGACCAGTTTGCCAAATTGATATTGACGATTGTTCCAGTACTCCATGCCTGAATGGGGCAAAGTGTATTGATCACCCGAATGGCTATGAGTGTCAGTGTGCCACAGGTAAGCTTCTCCTCACCTCTTATCTCCCTGGTAGGTCCGTCTGAGTAAAAGTGGGCGAGTGGCCTCTCCTAGATGCCACACCAGGCCAGCCCATGATAGAAGCTGCTCTGTGTTTAGAGAGAGCTTCTTCCAGCAGAGTTTTACTACTATCCCTGTTTAATTCTCCAACACCTGCCTCCGTCTCCACCGCAAAAGTGTCTGCCCTGGGTACCTCCATTTGGTGTCCCTGTCTTAGATACATTTTGACAACAGTGAGTTTCCTGCTGGCTTAACTTTGGGGAAGAGGAATCTCAGTTGGAACCAAGGGAGTTTTCACTGGGGCTTCTTAGCAGGAGGCTTCTTTGTGTTTCTGGAGGCAAGTGACTGAATAAAAGACCCAGAAACCTAAGGGCTGAATGGTGGAAGCACACAGATTTTCTATATGGAAGACACCTAATGCTATTGAGAGTTGGGTGTACAGCTGCAGGGAAGAGCTCTACTGGGAGAATGTGGATCCTCTCTGCTGACATTTGCCACTAGATTAAAAAAGAATCTGTTTACAAATACTATACATTTCTGGGTCTCTAGTCAAATTTCTTACTTGGTAGTGGATTTCAGTAACCCACACGTCCCAAAGTACATGGTTGATTCTGCATAGGCCAATATTGTAGAAAAGGGTTAGACTTTATTAGAAAAGGTGAGCTTATTTATTATTTTACTGCTTGAAAAAAAGGTTATAAATATAATTCCAGAGACATTATCTTATTTAGAAAGTTGACTCTTATATATTTATATATGTAACATTTATTTATTTCATGAATTAGAGAGAGACACACAGCAGCCCCACTAGGGTCTTAATGCCAGCCCTGGGTGTGGGCATGTGTGTCACCAGTGTACACAGGGAAGTCTCTGTATGTGAACTTGGAACATTCCCACGTGAGTCAGCCTTGCAGAACATTGCATTTTACCACTGTGCCACCATCAGGGCCCAAAAATGAACTTTTAAAGGACTGTAGACATCATCAACATGTTTTCTTCCTGATCACAGAAGAGCGATTTTAGTAACAAGAATCAGTACAGGAAGTTAATATTTCCATTTGTTTTCCCTAAGAGATCTTTGCTGTAGGGTGTGTGTACATTCAAGAGAGAGAGAGAGAGAGACAGAAAGCAAGAAATCATCTCCCGGGAGGATGGCCACACCACAATCCCTTCTCCTCAGTTCTCATCTGGGGCTCACCCCCAGTGTGAGTCTTAAGCTGCCTGGTCTGGGACTCGAACCGTGGTTGACTATGTGGGGGTCCAGCAATGTAACCAGACAGTAGTCTGCTGGTCCCCAATATATCCATTCTTAAACTTACTTAGATTAGGCTAATTCAGATGAGCTACTAACTTCTTTTTCTTTTTATAAACTGTCATCTCACATTGGAGAAGTTCCAGGTTTTGTCTTCACCTGGTCAGTTTCCTCTTTTGGAGAATATACTTCTTTGGAGAAAGACTTAAAACTTTGAATTCATATTAGAAAGTGAGGAAAGACCTTTTGGGGCCTTTTAAGAAGAGGCTTAGTTTCGCCTTATTGCATGTCCACTCTCTAGTGAGAGAGAGACAGAGACAGTGAGAAGGAAAGTGAGAAATCATCCCCCAAGGGGCATGGCTAGGTTGCAGTTCCTTCTTCTCCATTCTGCTCCCAGTATATTGGACACACACATGCGCACGCACCCAGGCTGGATTTTAAGCCACCAGTTCTGGGACTTAAACCATTGTCGGCCATGTGGGAGTCCAGTGAGGAACTCTTGTCTTTTTTGTTTGTTTGTTTAAATGCTCTGGTTCACGCATTTCATTCAACAATATTTATTGACAAACCTGCCACATATGCAGAGCATTCTGGGAGGTGGTTAGAGGAATAGATAAATCAAGGAAAGCTCTCTGTCCTTTAAAGTCAGAATTGTGGAGATCAGATACATGAAACCATTAGTACAGTACTTGTGCACTGGCTTTGGGAGAAAACAAGTATAGACGTAAAGGAAGAATATTGAGAGTTATTTTTTAACTAAAGCCCAATAGGAAGTAAAGATGAGGTTAAAACTTCCCAATGAAAGCATTAATCAGTCACAAAACTCTATCAATTCTACAAATTGTATTTTGCAAACTTTATATTAAACATAAGTTTCCAGACCTCCTTTTTAAATCAAGGCAAATCGTTCCAGACACAGGGGTGCAGGTAAAAGGATGTAGCTACATTCATGTCTCAGACGTTGGTCTTTAAGACTCCATGGTAAAATTTATTCCCAAGGTTTCACTGGTGTGTTGTGTGAGGAGAACATCGACAACTGTGACCCTGATCCTTGTCACCACGGTCAGTGCCAGGATGGAATCGATTCCTACACCTGCATCTGCAATCCCGGTTACATGGGCGCCATCTGCAGCGATCAGATTGATGAATGTTATAGCAGCCCTTGCTTGAACGAGGGTCGCTGCATCGACCTGGTGAATGGCTACCAGTGCAACTGCCAGCCAGGCACGTCAGGTAAGCTCACTCTGCTGCGTTTTGACCTGGAGGTTCTCTTCTTTCTAACAAACAATATATACAGGTATCTCAGACTTTCATGGCATATGCTCAGACACCTTAAAAACAGTCCTACTTCTGAAAAGCATGGCCAAAGCTTATACATAAATATGTCCGAGTCTGATGGCGTTAGGCATTGAAGAAGTTGGAGACAATGCCTTTGCTAATCTGATGGTTTTGTGTATGCATTTGCTAAACAGAGGTATACCGCTTCAAAAATCAAACTTATTTTTTGGAATTCAAAATCAAACTTATTTTTTAGAATTCGAAACCTTCTTGTCTTTGTGGCTGATGATTGATTATCTTTTTTTCTTTAAGCCCTTCCCCACTTGGATTAATGAATTCAACCTTTTCTTTCCCTTCCTCTTCCCCTCCCTTCCCTTCCCTTCCTGTTTTATCTTCCACAGTCCTTTCTCTTTATTGCAACACTTATATTCTGCCACTTGTCTCTGGTGAGGCCTTATGCATTTGGAGGAATTCTAAGGGTTGTCTCTGGCCGGGCCTTGTGCAGTTGGGGGGATTTATTTATTTTCAGAGATTTTTGCTATAGGGCACGTGCTCTTGCTGGAGAAACAGAGACAGACAGAGAGACAGAAAGCAAGAAATCACCCCCCCTGGGGTAGGATGGGCATGCCCCAATCCCTTCTCCTCAAGTCTCCTCTTGGGATTTTGGGCCTGGTGTGAGTTTCAAGTCACCAGGTCTGGGACTTGAACTTCAGTCAACTATGCGGAAATCCAGCCATGTAACCATTACACTATCTGCTGGTCCTGGGTTGAGGAGATTTTAAAAATAAGAATAAGGAAACACTGAGCAGTAGAATGCAGAGCCACCTCCTGTCTCCAGAGTTCAGGCTGGCCCTGGCCCCGGCTGAATGGCTGTTGTGTGAGGCATGCCGCTCTAGGATGCAGGATCTGAAGTATTTTTCTCAGGCAGCTGCATTTCACAGGTTGCACTGGATTCTGTTTTACTTCCTAGAGGAATGATTATGGTCACAACTGTGGTTAACAGACAGAGAAGTACTATGTCCAAGATCAAAGGAAAATGTAGCAGTGAAGATTAACCAATGTGTGCCTTTGTTAGAAGGGAACCTGCCAACATGTGGGAGTGATTTATTGGGAACTCATTCTGGACTGAAGGAAAATGGCCTATGTAGGGGGCAGAGGTAAGGGAGGTGGTTAGCTGCCCTCATTTTATTCTGTTATTTCCAAATCCATTTCTTCAAACTTGTCAAAGGCCCTGGTCTTCATCCAGTGCCTCATATATGCCAAGTTTGAAAACAAAGTCCTTTTGAATCGCTCAAGCATACGAAAAACATCCCAAGCCTTCACAGCTGAAATGCCCTCCCCCTCCCCACATTTAGATAACTCACTAAAACGACTGAATAGATCTTTGTGAAACCTTCCAAAAGCAATTTGCTTCCGGCTGGTCCCCAGACATGAGAAATGGAAGTACGAAAAGAAATTTGAGAGATTTACAAGCATTGGATGGATGCCTTTAGAATGAAGGGACTGTTTTAGGCTCTCCTATCATTCCCTCATAACAAACATGCTGGAAACCTGGGTGAGTGGTGGGTTGGCAAAGACTTTATTTTCTCTGGGATTACATCGTGATGCCAGGATGTATCAGGTGTGTTTTCTGGGGAAGACAGAGAGGGCATGGTGTAAGTAGCTGTCACTGAGGAAGACAAAGAAGTGAACATGAATGGCCCACAGACAGTGTGGAAAGAAGGCCCAGAATGTCTCTGAAACCTGCCAAATCCATTTCTTCAGCTGTTTGGGGAATTAAAGCAAAGAGAGGCAATCAACATTGAGAAATACTGGTCTATAATGTGTGGAGAAAGAATTGGCACAAACCAGAGACCTAGGTGGGAAGTCTGTTAAAGGAGGCATTATATGTAGACTTGGAAGTTCTAGAGGAAGAATCCCTGATTCATTCGATATGGTCCAAGTTGATTATTAGATGTTTGAATGGTTTGAGGGTGTGGATGGATTTGCTAGGCAAAGTCATGGTCTTCACTCACTGGGTTCTTTAAGATTTTCATATGTGTGTGCTTTCATGATTGTATGCTATTTTAAGTAGGTTTCTTTGGGTTTCAAGGAACAGAAATGAACTTGAGCTAGTGTGAAAGAATCATTTACAGGCTAGCCCTGTAGCCTGGTAGTTAAGGGAGCCAGCTCCCACATAACCTATTCTAGTTTGAATCTTGGCCGTGGTGGCCCTGTTGTCTTAAAACTAAGTTTGTGTGCCTGTGTGCTCAAAATCTTAATAGGATTGAGAAATGGAGGAGAACGAATTGTGGCATGACCACACCCCATAGTGTGGTGCTTTTTCCCTCTGTCTCTGGCAAGTGCATATGCCCCCTGGTAATTAAAAAATAAATTAATAAAAATTATTTGCAAAGAACAACAAAACACACAAAAAGAACTTAGTGAAAACACACAGAAGTGTCTTACAGATTACAAACAAGAATTGGATAATAAGGCTTTGGAGAAAAATAGCAGGAAGCAGTACAATTTGTAGACCTGAATACATACAGTTTAATCTTTGAAGTTTCATAAGAGAGAATCTTATTGGCCCAGCTTGATCCAGGTGTCAGATTCTGCCCCCCCAAAATCATGGATCTGTGGCTGAAGTCATTTTGGATTGCTAGGGCTTCATGGAACTGTCTTCATAAATTTTTGGGAAAGGAGGGTCCTTAGTCAGAGGCTAAAAACATCTCCTAAAGGTGTGGAGGCAGAGAAACAAGGCTTGGATCTCAGCCTTCTGCCCTGACTGTGGCACTGTGCAAGTTAGTCATGTCACCTAGAAAATGGGTGTAACACACCTTGTTTTGCAGGTTGGGTGAGAAGATTAGAGAAAAGCTATGTAAAGTGGGAAGGAGAGTAATTTGCACATAATAGTAGCTCAGTAATTTTTAGTAAGCATTAATAAAAAGTGTGAATGCATAGGAGTAATAGCATTTTGTTCAGGATGTTTTTATTATATCTTTATTATGAGACTCTTATATAATACCCAGAAAGCATCATAGGTGAAAATAACATAAATAGCAAAATATTGTGTTTTTAACAAAATAATGGTAGTAATAATGATTGATGTATCCCTACATTTTAGTTACTGCTTCAACAACCAAACCAGTATTAACACAGCCAAACCCTTCCATTCACCTGGGCGCAGGAATAGGGCAGCAGACCTTAGGAGGAAGTTCCAAGACTCCCTTAACACTACAGTATCAGGTTTAGAGCCATGAATACATTTTCCCACATTCTGATTTTAATTTTACTTTGACCTAAAATACTGCCACTTAGATTCCTTGAAAATAGGATTACTTCTTTTACTTTATGATTTCTAAATACTCATGTCTGAATAATTCTTGTGTATCTGTCTGTTCCTCTTTCACTTCAAGTTGGGTTCCCTGAAGAAGGCAGCTATTTCATTCACGACTCAGTCACTGGAATACTCTTTCTGCAGTCAACTCTTTGCCTTGGTGTACCACAAAGTGCTTTATGTGTCCTTCCCATTTCATCACATGGAATCAAAAGTGTATAAACTTCAGAAATGAGGGACCAGCGGTTAGCATAATGGCTGTGTCGCTGGACTCCCATGTCGTCGACTGCGGTTTGCGTCCCGGACCCAGTGGCTTAAACTCACGCTGGGCATGTGTGCGTGCGTGCCCAGGATCCCGAGAGGAGAATGGAGGAGAAGGGATTGCGGCGTGGCCATCCCCCCTGGGGGGTGATTTCTCACTTTCTGTCTCTGTCTCTCTCTGTCTGGCGAGTGCACGCGCCCTATAGCAAAAACCTCTCCATAAAAAGAAGAAAAAAAAAAATAAACTTCAGAATTGAGAGCTTATGAAATTATAAAGTCAATAATTTTAACCGTTCACTAAAACCATTCTCAGATGAGAATGACAGTTTTGTTTCTTTACCTTAATTGTGAACATGTGGATGCAAAAAGTAGAATGATTTGGGGAACCAAAATATACTATTCTAAAATATACTTCTTTGGCCTATTTCTAAGATTCAGAGGGTCTGCAGACACAGGATTTAATGTGCTTTTTTTTTTTTTGAGAGGTTTGTGCTATAGGGCATGTGCGCTCTCCAGACAGACAGAGACAGAGAGACAGAAAGCTAGAAATCACCCCCTGGGGGGATGGCCACACCGCAATTCCTTCTCCTCTGTTCTCCTCTCGGGATCTTGGGCACGCATGCACTCACGCCTGGTGTGAGTTTTAAGCCACTGGGTCCAGGACGCGAACCTCAGTTGACTACATGGGAGTCCAGCAACATAGCCATTACGCTAACTGCTGGTGCTAACTTTTTGTAAAGACATTTACATCTGTTGGCATCAGTAGAGTAAGCAGCTGAGCTACTCCTTGGCCTTCTAGGCTGAGAAAGGACATTGCAGATCTGACACTTGACCCAGAAACAGGATAATCTTTGCTTCGTTGCATGTTTTCTGCTTACCCTTTTGTTGTTTATCTCCAAGCCACTGTGGAATTAAACCTTCACTCACCTGCCCTTCTCTGAGCCACATTCCTGTGTGGTTCCCATGTATGTATATACATTAAAATGAGTCTGTATGTCCTTTCTCTCATTAACCTGCCTTTTTTGGGTCATTCAGCTAGCTAGTAACAGCAACTAATAATACCCCTCAGTGCCACCTTGATTCCTGTTGAAATGCCAGCAGGTTTACTTCCATTGCATTTGCACCATCAGTGTGAATGCCAAGACAGTGGAAAAAGGCAAATTATAGCTGAGTATGATGTGCAGTTTCCTTTTGGCTTCAAGAAAAAAAGATTCTGAACTGTACTGTCGATTGTCTAGAGCTGGCTGGATTCTCCTTAGATTTCTTAACACACATCACGGCCGAGAGGATTGGTATTTCTGTGGTCATGTCGATTGTGTTCTCTTTGTAGGAGTTAACTGTGAAATTAATTTTGATGACTGTGCAAGTAACCCTTGTGCCCATGGGGTCTGTATGGACGGCATCAATCGTTACAGCTGTGTCTGCTCGCCAGGATTCACAGGTAATTCTCTCATTGGCAGGTCCTTCTTCACCCCGTCTCTGCAAAAATGGCATCTAAAGGAAAAATCACTCTTCAAATGTCTGTTTTGTTTTTGTTTTTGTCTCTAGAAGATTAGACATCTGTTTCTGGGGTTTTCTGGACCAGTTTTCTGCTTATAGAACCTTCCTAAACTGAAACATGATACTTTCTATTCATTTGGGGGTTTTAGACCAGATTTGCTACCTGAATAGACTTCCTAGACAGATTGTGAGTTCCCACCACTGTGTTTGAATTAAATAGGTTCTGAAGCCACTTTTACTTTTCTACAATAATACAAAACTCTCTCCAGAAAAAAAAGTACTTAAATTTAATTTAAATTTATTTACTTTTAGATAAAACTCAGTGCCTTCTGTAAAGAAAGACATACTTTCTGTAAAGATACTCCCTACCATTTTAATAACACTTGATAGATTTAAAAGATTATATATTTTTTTAAGACTACATTCCCTATTCTCTTAGAAATGCCAAATGCTTGTTTCTGGAAACTTCCTTCTCTGGGAGACTGTTGGTGGTCAAAACTAGTATCAACCACCCTAATTTGGCTAGAGTGAGTGAGGACTTTCTGTCCAGCTGAAGAATGTAAATGGCTTAAATAATTTTGAGTATAACTCTTCTTAAAGTATAAACAGCTAGAGGATTCACACGTGGACATATGTGCACACACATACTTGCACACATACCTCTTCTCTCTACTTGTTCCTGTTACCTTTATCTTGTACCCTCCTGATCAAAAAGTGCTGGAGGCTCCTAGGGGAACCAGGGGCCACTCACTGATACACCTAGGTTGGCTGATGGCACCACCAGAGGGCATACATTGTATCTTTTCATCTTTCTAGACAGTGCCACATAGCAGTCACTAGCATATTACCACTCAAGAATAATCTGGTGGTCACTTGTGCCCTATGTGAGTAACTCCTTTCAGAACTTTTGACAGAGTTTGTCAGAAGGCAGCCAGAGCCCTCTGCAGTGAGCGTCTGCCACTTGCTTGCTTGGCACTCATTTGCGCTCTCTGTTTCACAAACATTTCTCCTGCTTGGTGTGGTGGTGGACACTATGGATGAATGTGTGTGGCCCAAATGGGTCACAGGGACTCCTGTTCAGTGAAAGATCCCCGAAAATCCAGGTAGGGTGAGAGCTCTCATGCCCAGTACACAGCAGTTGCCATGATAGCCTGACATATTTCTGCATCCTGAAATTTGTCACTTCAAGGTCTACTGGTATCAGCTGAACACCCAGTTCAGGATAACTGGGGCATTGTTGTAAAGTAGGTAATTGGAAGAGAGAGCTAACATTTACGAAGCATAATTTATGAAAATAATTTGAGGTGGGCACTAAACTGAAACACCTCATCTCACGTAACTGTCATCTGTCACTGCCATTGTCTTTCTTTCCTATAGTCTTGATGAGAAACTCAGGCTTCAAGGGCTCAGGAACGTTGTCCATGTACTGTAGCTGGGCATCCACCCCAGGCAGTCTGACCCCAGCTCTCTCCCATTACACTGCAAAGCCTAACAGGGTGCCTCTCTGGTTTCTCTGTGGATTTTTATAAGGCTTCTACTGGACTTTGTTTTCTTTTTTTGAAATGCCAGTGAATTATATATATATTTTTTTCCTTTTAGCATTTAGCAAGCCAGGAAGGTCAGGGAGGGAGGAGGACATAGGCTAAAAATATTCTAAAATAAACTTAAGGTGTAGCGTAAAGCCACATACCAAGAAATGGAATGTTTTGGTTATTGGGTGGTACCCTGTTCTTGGAACAGTTTCCTCAGAATCTTATTTTAAAGACTGAGAGAGTTTTTTTTTTTTTTATTTTTTATAAATGTTGCTGAAAATATTAGAGATGACTATGGTATGTACTCATGAGCGGTAAATGTAAGGTATTTTATTCTTGCCCCTTTTTTTTTAAGAAAAGAAAACATTTTCCTTACCATTTTAGTAACACTTTTGATAGATTTAAAGGAAGATTTTTTTATTGTTGTTGTTTTAAGACTAAACTCCCTGTTCTCCTAGACCTATATACTTCTCTGTCGAATGAGGGAAAAGTAAAGAAAAATGTAATAATTCTATGAGCTACTTTTCAGTTTTACAAAGCACCTTCACACCCATTATCTTTCTAAATTCTCATAATAGTCTAGTAAGACAGTTCCACTCTCTCCATTTTAAAAATGAAGCTACTAAGAGAGGTGCTATGTGCCATGGCCTCAGTTAGACAGCCACTTAGCGAGGACTGTGAGTTCCTAGATGTCCACGTCACACACCTTCCCCTCCAATCATAGTTTAGATTGTCTAAGGTCGTGTCTAGCACCAGGGACACACTCAGTGAATGCTGCTGAGTGAAGGATCGAATGAGACTCAGATACAGCATTTTTGTGCTCCAGCTCCAGAACCTAGAGTCTGGAGTACACCATGCTCTCATTCATTAATCACTGATTTATTGAGTATCTATAAAGAAACATTGAGTCACTTTTCATTTGGTAGTTACTGAGCCCACAAGTACACAACCTTGTACTGGACATTTCCAATGCCTGGTAGGAGGTCCTTGAGGCAACACCTTTGCTGGTAAAACAGCTATCAATCCACACAGTAAAATGTGTGAGGGGACACTTAAAACTCTCTGGTTAAGTTGTCTTGAAAATTTTTGTTGGTAAGAGTTTAAAAGCAAATGAAGGGGACCAGCAGATGGCATAAATGGTTATGTCGCGGGGTTTCCATGTAGTTGATCATGGTTCGAGTCATGGACCTGGCAACTTAAACTCATGCTGGGTGCATGTGTGTACGTGCCCAAAGTCCTGAGAGGAGGGTGAAGGAGAAGGGATTGTGGAGTGGCCATTCCTGTTGGGGGTGATTTCTCACTTTCTGTCTTTCCATCTCTACCTCTCCAGTGAGCACATGTGCCCTATTGCAAAAATCTCTCTCTTTAATTTAAAAAATAAATAAATAAAGAGAGAGAGAGAAGAAAGGAAGAAAATTTAGATAGAGTGGTTTCTTTGTTTGAAAGAGAACGAAACATTAAAACCTTATTTTTTTTTTTCTCATTCTTCACTGAATTGCAGGACAATGATAGCTCTGTAGTTAAATAGCTCTGGTTCATCTCTTGGTATCAGTGGCAAACTTTTGAAAAGATCAATATTCAAGGCAAAGAAAATAGTATTTAAAAAGAAGTTATTAGTAAAACACTTAAGAGGGAAATAGCAGCACTTTCAGATTTTGGGACTCTACCACAAGTAGTGGCTTAGAGAGCAATAGAGGGTGAAAAAATGTTAAGACCCGTACTTTAAAGGGGTGTGTATCCATTTCAGTTGGAGTTTTCTATGCAAAATGCAGGGTTGCCCTTTTTAAGTTAAAAAAAATGTTTTTTTTTTTTTTTGGTCTGATTCTGAACATTGTCGTCTTTGAAATTTATATATTCTTTCATAGTAGTTCCTTGATACTATGAAATCTACAGGATTATGGTAATTTTTAAATTTCATGTAATTTCTGAATACATAGTTAAATCTCAATTATTTAAAAACTCACAAGTCAAAACACTTAAATATCTGGCTCATACTACTTTATTCAGCCTAATTCAATAAATGTCTAGGTCATAGCAGACATCTTTTCAAAGTGCATTCCTTTGAGGATAAACATATTCACTTTAATTTCTTATATCCCCCATAGCCATCTTTGGTAACACCTGACATTCTCGTTTTAATCCATATGAAGTTTTCCCATTTCTAAGGTGGGAGAAAAAAATGTCAAAATGGTATAGCTATGCCAGCATCTTGTTAATTTTGCTTCATTATCAAAAGTCAGTGCTCTTTGCTCCTCTTTTGCATGGCATTCATGCTATTGGGTGTCTTATTCCCAAAATCTTGACATTTGGTGCAGATGAAGAGTGTCAACATGCCTTACAACTCTGCATCTGTTCCCTAAGCATCTGGGATGTGAATAACCCTGCCCCTTTTTCTACAGGACAGAGATGTAACATTGACATTGACGAGTGTGCCTCCAATCCCTGTCGCAAGGGTGCAACATGTATCAATGATGTGAACGGTTTCCGCTGTATATGCCCCGAGGGGCCCCATCACCCCAGCTGTTACTCACAGGTGAACGAGTGTCTGAGCAATCCCTGCATCCATGGCAACTGTACTGGGGGTCTCAGTGGGTGAGTAACTGCCATGTGTTACAGTTTCTTTTAACTTGTGTCAAGCCAGTTGACTTTTGGTATTGGCAGTAGCCTGAAGAAGTCAACTGGGGCCTTGAGCTGAGACTTGGCTGAAGATTTTGGTAGGCTGCATCAAAGTCTTTCAAATCGCCACTTCATTGTGGGAAGCTGGTCTTTACCTTCCATGATCGAGGACCTAGGTAGACAATAAGGAGGGATATCTCCCTTATAAGGTAATCAGCAAGAGCCTCACAGTAGGAGTCCAGGCTTATTTTATGAGTTTTTGACAATTGTGTTTTTAGTACTTATTACAGGATTGAGTTCTGAGGAATATTCTAGCCTTACAGTTCCCTCCAACCTCCTACTTAAATATAGTTCAGCTCTGTTCCATCACAGTACCAGTGTGTACTTTGAAGTAGAGCTGGTTCAGCTAACTTTAGACATAGCCCTAATAAAACATTTGCAGTCTGCAAGCTTCTTGGAGTCATGCGATGTACTGGTAATTTTCCAGAATCACAGACTGTGACCATAGGCTCTATTAGATGGTCTTAAACTTTCTCTGTGCTTACCATAGCCATAGGACTTTGGGCATTGCCATTTGCAAATTCCCAATAGGTAAAAGAATGAAGAGTGCATGTAGATATAAATGGGGAATAAGATTATTTTTCCAAATGAATTAATTCAGTTGATTCATGCCATATGCAAGGTGACCCAAGTGGAAGTCTATAGAGGAGTAGAAATCAATCGCCCTCATTCCTTCACCAGCTCCTGTGTTTCCCTTTATGACTCGGTCATTCATTTATCTCCCCATCATAATGCACGTTTTATCTTCATTTAGATATAAGTGCCTCTGTGATGCAGGCTGGGTTGGCACCAACTGTGAAGTGGACAAGAATGAATGTCTTTCTAACCCATGTCAGAATGGAGGAACCTGTGACAATCTGGTGAATGGATACAGGTGTACTTGCAGGAAGGGCTTTAAAGGTGAAAACAAAAGGCATCTTTCTATGTCTGTTGTTTGCTCGTCGCTGCTGACTGCTTTCATCAGTTCTTTCTTTCTCTTTTTTCTCACTCATTCATGCAGCAAACAAATTGAGCAATTTGGATTTGTAAGGCAGTAGGGGACTAGAAACATAAATAGATATAGTTTCTGCCTTCAGTCTAAGAGGTGAGCTATTGAAACAGTGAATTTAAAAAATTTATTTATTTATATTTTTAGTTTTTTTTTTTTTTTCTCATAGGATGCATGCCCTCACCAGGGGAGCAAATGAGAAATCACCCACTGGGGGGGATGGCGGAGTGGTCACTCCACAATCCTGTCTCCTCCATTCCCCTCTCAGGATTTTGGCAACACATGCACATGTACCCTGTGGTTTTTTTTTTTTTTTTTTTTTTGGAGAGGTTTTTCGCTATAGGGTGTGTGTGCTCGCCAGCCAGACAGAGAGAGGCAGAGAGACAGAAAGCGAGAAATCACCCCCAGGGGGGATGGCCACGCCGCAATCCCTTCTCTTCCATTCTCCTCTTGGGATCTTGGGCATGCACGTACACACGCCCGGCGTGAGTTTTAAGCCACCGGGTCCAGGACGCGAACTGCGGTCGACTACATGGGAGTCCAGTGACATAGCCATTACGCTAACTGCTGGTCCCTACCCTATGTGTTTTTTAAGCCATCAGGTTTTGGACTCAAACAGTGGAGCTGCCATGTGGATCTAGTACTTTAACTGCAATGCTACCTACTGGCCCTGAAATAATACTTAAGATGAGCAGTTAAAATTCCATTTACACAGCTTTGGATAACTGTCTGATTGTAACTGTCTTGGTCCAGGTAACAGAATAGATACATGGAAGTAGAATGAAAATATTATACTTACTCTAATTATGATAGCAAAATTGTCATGGAAGAATCCATGCATTTGCGGAACCAGCAGTTAGTATAATGGCTATGTCAATGGACTCCCATGTAGTCAACCACGGTTTGAGCAGAGAGACAGAAAGCGAGAAATCACCCCCAGGGGGGATGGCCACGCCGCAATCCCTTCTCTTCCATTCTCCTCTTGGGATCTTGGGCATGCACGTACACACGCCCGGCGTGAGTTTTAAGCCACCGGGTCCAGGACGCGAACTGCGGTCGACTACATGGGAGTCCAGTGACATAGCCATTACGCTAACTGCTGGTCCCTACCCTATGTGTTTTTTAAGCCATCAGGTTTTGGACTCAAACAGTGGAGCTGCCATGTGGATCTAGTACTTTAACTGCAATGCTACCTACTGGCCCTGAAATAATACTTAAGATGAGCAGTTAAAATTCCATTTACACAGCTTTGGATAACTGTCTGATTGTAACTGTCTTGGTCCAGGTAACAGAATAGATACATGGAAGTAGAATGAAAATATTATACTTACTCTAATTATGATAGCAAAATTGTCATGGAAGAATCCATGCATTTGCGGAACCAGCAGTTAGTATAATGGCTATGTCAATGGACTCCCATGTAGTCAACCACGGTTTGAGTCCCAGACCCAGTGGCTTAAACTCACACCAGGCACGTGTGCGTGTGTGCCCAAGATCCCGAGAGGAGAATGGAGGAGAAGGGATTGTGGCACGGCCATCCCCCATGGGGGGTGATTTCTCATTTTCTGTCTCTGCCTCTGTCTTCCTGGCAAGCGCACGTGCCCTATAGCAAAACACCTCTTCAAAAAAAAAAAAAAAAAAAATCCATGTGTTTGGAACCCTTCTGAGAAACTCTTACTCATTGAAATGTTCTGAGATTCTTAGTTACCTAATGGCCTATCTTGGAAAAAAAAAATGTGTAGTCATAGAAATTGTATAAAATCTTTTCTTTTTTTTTGACTAGTCATTGTGTTTCTCCCATCAGCTTTCTCTTAGAAACTCATTAGAGAGAAATGTATGAGTAAATGATGATTTATATGTGCCTTCATGTATCCACTTATTCATTGGTTTTATCACTCAAAAATTATTCCATGCCTTTGTGATACATGAGTGTGTTTTAGAACCACTTTATTTGATTACTTAAATTTTCTGAAATTATATTTCAGTCAGTCGTTTTCTGGTATATTACATCACATATATAAAGAAACTTAGAGGTTTAAAAGCACTTTTATTCCTTTATCTTGTTGAGACCTGCTTGTTAGTAAGCAAAATTAAAATCAAAATGTGAAATCTAAAGTTGTGTGCCTGGTGAATAGCAGGATATAAGTTGAACCCAGGCCTCTAGGTCACCATTTTCCTTTTTACAGTGCTATAGTTTCCTATTTTAAGGCTCTGTTCCAGTCCCTATTGAAGATGGAAAGGTGTATGATGCTTGGGTACTGTTTTAACTCCATTAGTGCTTCCTTACTGATCTTCTTTTCTGTGTGCCATCTCAGTGGGGCCTGAGGTGTTCAACTTTTACTACTGCAAGAATTAGTTAGCAATTGAGATAATAAAGAGGCCGATAGTGGTTTTCATGCTTCTTGGTTTATCTGCTTTTCTGTGTACAGGCTATAACTGCCAGGTGAATATTGATGAATGTGCTTCAAATCCGTGCCTGAACCAGGGAACCTGCTTTGATGACATAAGTGGCTACACTTGCCACTGTGCCCTGCCATACACAGGTGGGTCCTTCAAGTGCCGGCAGGGGCTGGAGGGGATGCTTGGCCTTGTCTCAGCATAGCAGGTCTGAAGGGTAATGATGCTGCTCTGAGGAAATCACCCCCTAGTTTTTCTTCTTGCCCTCACTGACTGGATCTTCAGCTTTGGGAAACCATTGTGGTCTTTAAGATGCAGGTGGTGGGAAAGTGCATTTGTCATCTTTATACTTTGATGTTCAAAATATTTTTTTAGAGGCTGGGTGTAGTAGTATGGACCTATAATCCCAGGGATATGGGAGGCAGAGGCAGGAAGAGCCTAAGCTCAAGGCTAGCCTGGGCAACATAGCAAGACACTGTCTAAAAAAGATGTCTGTCCAGAGGCCAGCCTGGTGGTGGCAGGTGGTTAAGGTGCTGGACTTCCACAGGAGTAGAGTCATGCCTCATGCCAGGAGGTGGCATGGTGGTTAAAGTGCTGGACTTTCACATGGCTGACTACAGTTTGAGTTCCGGATTTGATGACTTTTTCTTTCTTTCTTTCTTTCTTTCTTTCTTTCTTTCTCTGTCTGTCTTTCTGTCTGGTGAGTACATGTGTCTTATAGGAAAAAAAATTTAAATAATAATAAATGAAATTAAGTAAATAATTCTTTTTTTTTTTTTTTTGAGAGATTTTCACTGTAGGGTGCGTGCGCTCGCCAGACAGACAGAGAGAGACATAGAGACAGAAAGCGAGAAATCACCCCCCAGGGGGGATGGTCACGCCGCAGTCCCTTCTCCTCCATTCTCCTCTCGGGATCTTGGGCACGCACGCACACGCACCCGGCGTGAGTTTTAAGCCACCGGGTCCGGGACACGAACCGCGGTCGACAACGTGGGAGTCCAGCGACATAGCCATTATGCTAACTGCTGGTTCCCAAGTAAATAATTCTTTAAAAATAAAAAGGAAGGTGTCAGGCTTGATGGAACCATGTAGTTCCTGGTGGGAGGTTGAGGCAGGAGGAAGACCCTGTCTAAAAAATTAGAAGCATTTCTTTTCTAAATTACACATGGCTAGAGACCTGTTGTATAGTTGATGATTTAGTCCGTCATTTGAATGGACCCCATGTTCCCGTGAGCTATACTGCTAATCTTAGTTTCAATATCAGAACTACCATTTATTGGAATAATAATTTACTATTACCATTAATTTATGATGTACTAGGTACTTTTTATACTTTGGGTTATTTAATCTAGTCCTCAGTAGTTCTGCAGTGCAATTCTGCAAGGGGGTTCCTTTTGCTATTTTCTATAAGAAGTGTAGGCGAGCAAGCTCACTTCGCCTGAGGTTACATTGGTCAGTGGAAGGTCTGAGATTTCTCGTAAGTCTCTGATTCCAAAGCTTCTCTTAACTCCATTCCACTTCTCACATTCAGGACTGCTACATCTTACTCAGAGGCATCACCTCTTGGACGGCTACTACACAGAAGATAGGGATGTTGACTGTTTCACATCAGGTGTCTATTTCAGGTGTATGTTCACAGTGTTCTGGAGACATTTCTTCTTTGTCTTCTACTGTCTTAGCGAACCCATCTTGCAATCGGTTGTAGGTGTATGGCTTACCTCCTCATCAACTATTTTCTTCATTTGAGGGAAACAGAAACAAGGACAGTGGCTTTCCCTGTGTGTCTAGTGTGCAGCTTGAAGGCAGGAGCATGACTGAGCACAGGAGCATGGCAGAGTACAGGAGGATGGCAGAGTTGTAACCCCCCGGAGTCTAGGCTGTTCTCCTCTAAGCTGTGTAGAGAAGCAGAATGGCCACAAGCATGACCTTGGTACCTGAAAGTCTTGATACTGCATTGTTGCCTTTACCCTTCTTTAGATGAAATATTAACATGGGGGAAATGTATTTAACCTACTTGGTTCATAAAAATCAAAGCTAGAGGTGGCTTCTACCTATCCCCAAAGACAGCATAAAAAAAATGTCCTTTCAGTCCCAGCTCCAGTGGCACAGTCAGTACTGAACTGTGGTGAAGGAAGCCACATGGATGACTGCAGGTTTGAGTACCAGGGCAACCCGAAAACACCCTTGACACACATGTGCCTAAGAGCCTAATGAGCTGAGAGACTGGGGAAAGGGAATTATGGCATGATGAGACCTCCCCTTCTTCTCATGTGCGCATGCACACAATCTCAAGAATAAAATAATACCAAATGTCATTTCACAGTAATAGCACTACCATTGTATTTGTTGGCAGTGAGAAGGCAATCTCACAACCATAAAGATTGAGAATAGATGGTCATGGGGAGATGTAAGCAGGTGTCACCATGCTCAACCACATCAGAGGCTCACCTACTGGGTGTCTTAAGAACAGCTTGGGAGTATTTATTTTGTCATCATGCTACTCAAATACACTAAAAATACTTGGCTATATGCTGATTGTTGATTTTCTTTAGAAAAGGATCTCAATTAAAGAATTTACAGTGTGTGACTTTGGAGAAATTATATCTGACCAAAAGCCTGTGCAGATTAACATTTTGTCCTGAGTGTGACTAGAGGTGCAAAGTTTTGTTGAGTTTTCCCAGGGTAAAGAAAGCATTTCTTTCTCTCACAACCTACAGTTCAGGCCAGACACATTAAAAATGATTTGGGCTACCAGATGCTGGTGCAGTGGTAAAATCTGAAGCTCTGTGAGGTTGACCCACCTGGGTAGGTACTAGGTTTGCATCTGGAGACCTCCATGAGTTTGCCAGGGGCATGCGTGCCCATGATCAAGGGCTGGCTGAGGCTGGGAGTAGATGATAGCATCTAGATTCCATTGGGGTACCTGTCTCTCTGTCTCTGTCTCTATCTCTTTTACTTACAGAAGAAAGAAATAAGTAAACTTAAAAAAACGATTTGGGCTATTCTGGTGGTGAAAATTCATAGTAATTATTTTTCTTTCTAAACGTAAAATATTAAGATGAAATTTAAAGTTGAGTTAGTGGTGACTTGACTTTAAAAACAACTTCATCACCCCTTAATAGGTGCATCCTTTTTTTCTTTTTTTCCTTGTAAGCTTATATTTAACATACTAAGGTGAGAAGTCTTGGTAGGCAGATACTGAGGTCATATTGATATGGGTGTAAGGAGACAGGTTACCTGGCAGTCAGAATTGTTTCCTGTTTCTCACCTCTGGGGGTGCTTTCTGATTCACCCTGTTCCTTTCTAGAACAGGTTAGCAAGGTTGTGGGGGGCAGGAAGCCTTGCAGCTGCTTCTTCCCTCCTCATACAAAGTGCATCTGTGTGGCTGAACCTCTGAATGGCTGACTCTCACCTCTGCACATATATAAAACATCGCATTTGACCGATACAGATGTCCACATTCATGTGAGCATTCATAATGCTATCTAGCAGTGGAGATGATGGGAGCTCAGCGAAAGATGAGTGTTCATTCTCTATGCTCTGTGTCAGTGAGGACTTCATTTGCATTTTTCCCATTTGATCTTCAGAGATACTCTATGAGCTTCATACTGTACCAGTTCCCTTTTTATTTATGAGGCAGGCTCCAGGAAGACACATACCTTGTCACACTGTTGGCAGTGTCTGAGCCAGGACTGAAAAGAATCATGCATAAGTCTTTCAAATTCCAAAGCCTCATTACAACTACTTTAGACTCGTGTTCTAAGAACAACCATGGTATACGGTTTTGGAAAATGTTTGTTTCCTTGGCTGATTCTCTGTCATAAATGCTGTCATTTGTTTTCCAGGCAAGAATTGTCAGACCATATTGGCTCCCTGTTCCCCAAACCCTTGTGAGAATGCTGCTGTTTGCAAAGAGGCACCGAATTTTGAGAGTTATACCTGCTTGTGTGCTCCTGGCTGGCAAGGTAACAGTATGGGGGTGGATAAGCACCATGATCATGCATCCTGAACTTTAAATATAGTGACCAGGTCATCAGATGACACGAAAAGCCATAGTCCTCAGAGGCCTGCTCTTCTTAGTCAAGAACACAGGGGCTATCTGGAATGGCTTAGAAAGCCTTCCAGTACCCATGTCTTTGGGGCCCTCTAGTGGCTGGAAGACTCCAGCCAGAGAGTCTCAAATCATGAGATTTCTGCAAGCAATTTTAGTACCTTGGCTGCTGCTTCTTAGAGGGTATGAATGACTCCTTGGAACTTCCCCAAATAGGAGACCATCCAGGATATCGTTGGAGTAGCCCCATCCACTCTAAGCTACCCCATTTAGATTTCTATAGGAAATGGAGACCTCCCTAAGTATGCCAGGGGTGTGTGTACCCATGATCAAAGCCTGGCTGAGGCTGGTAGTGGACAGTAGCACCCAGATCCTGTAGCATCATTGTCCCTGTGTCTCTAGGCCAGCGGTGTACAGTCGACATTGACGAGTGTGTCTCCAAGCCCTGCATGAACCATGGTGTATGCCATAACACCCAGGGCAGCTACATGTGTGAGTGTCCTCCAGGCTTCAGTGGTATGGACTGTGAGGAAGACATCGACGACTGCCTGGCCAGTGAGTATGACGCCCTCAGCTCTAAGCCCTGAGAAGGAGGAAAATCCACAGGGTGCAGATGGGAGCTGAGCATGGGTTGCTGGCATGCTGATCTTGGTCATACTGATTATTTATTGAATTTACTTAATATTAGTATTAGATATAAAGGGTCAAGTACATAAGAGTCAGAATTATGCTCTCCAGCGACATAGCCATTACACTAACTGCTGGTTCCCCTTTTTTTTTTTTTTAAATATATATATATATTTTTTTTAATCTAACTTTATTTATTTGTTTTAATTTGACCAGAGAGGAACAGAGTGAGAGAGAGGGAGAGGGAAAGTAAGAAAACAAGCTGCCAGGTCCGGGACTCAAACCTATAGTCGGCCATGTGGGAGTCCAGTGCTCTTAACCACCACGCCACCTGCCGGCCCCTGATTCACTTTTATAAATCGAAAATTAAATGGGTAATGCTGTTTAGAGTCCTAATTCTTGTACAATGGTGTAGATCCTTGCCAGAATGGAGGTTCCTGTATGGATGGAGTGAATACTTTCTCTTGCCTCTGCCTCTCGGGCTTCCATGGAGATAAGTGCCAAACAGACATGAATGAGTGTCTGAGTGAACCCTGTAAGAATGGAGGGACCTGCTCCGACTATGTCAACAGCTACACTTGCAAGTGCCCAGTGGGATTTGATGGAGTCCACTGTGAGAACAACATTGACGAGTGCACCGAGAGGTGAGCACCGTGTGCACTTGGAGATCGATACCTTGTGGGAAAAAGGAGACGTGGAGGAAACTTCACAGCACACGTGAAGTGGGTGTGGGTCCCACTCCACAACTATCTCCCATTGTCCAATTCCTGATTATTGGTAGACGTATAGTTAAGTTAAAGGTTAGAGGATGAAAAGCTAGTGGGATGTATTAGTATTAGATATAATAGTTATATAGTATAGATAGTATATATATAGATATAATAGATATATAGTATCATCCTTTATTTTTTGCTTAGAGACAGAGCTGTAATTCTGTTCTGTTTTCCCCATAATTGCGTTTTCGTTTCAGTTGACAATTAATCTAAACATTCTTACTTTGGTTACTGTTTTTTAAGTATTGGGTTAGAAAAGTCATGACACATTTTTGCATAGAAAAATATAGTAAAAATATGTCATGACTTTTCCAATGACCCAGTAATTTCTGGGAGATTTGTTTCATTTTATTTTATTATCAACATATTTCTGCCTCTCTCTTATAAATTGAAGAGCTATTTACTTAACTTTTCATATAAATTAAATTGACTTAGGTGTAAAATTAAATGTGATAACATAGAAAATCACAGAAGTTCAGAGATAAAACTTGGAAAATTTTACTTTCTCTAGGAATCTATGAGGGGACTTGAAAAAGTTTATGGAAAAATGGAATTAAAATGCATACATTTATTTTGATGCAGAAAGATTGGAGAATCCATGTATAGTTTCTTCACAGTACACACTTTCCATGAACTTTTTGAAGACCTCTTATTTAATAAGCCCGGTTTTAAATACTCCTGAGCTCTTTGGTTGTAGAAGGAATGTTGGCATTCAGGCCTTCTGGCACGTCATCTAGTTAAGAAGAAAAGTGAAATTTATTGGATAATAGCAATTTGGGGTGGTCAGGGGTATTTGCTTCTATGACATGATGGATTCCTGAAACCTTACTTTTTGAATAGCAGGTCAAAGGACCCAGATTACATAGCTAATGTTGCTCTCCTATTTGCTCCTTAGCTCCTGTTTTAATGGTGGCACCTGTGTGGATGGGATTAATTCCTTCTCTTGCTTGTGCCCTATGGGCTTCACTGGTCCCTTCTGCCTCCACAAGATCAATGAATGCAACTCTCATCCATGCCTAAATGAGGGGACGTGTGTTGATGGCCTTGGTACCTACCGCTGCATCTGCCCCTTGGGCTACACTGGAAAAAATTGTCAGGTAATTAATTAGCTCCCTCAGAGTAGCTGTATTTAGTGTACCTATTCCTTTTTCAGGCAGGATAAGCCCTTTCTTAAAAAGAGAACTGTGGATCTCAGGGATGTCCCTGAGATAAATCTCATAACTTCTTTTTTTTTTTTAAAGGAATTATTTATTTATTTTTATTTATTATTATTATAATGTACCAGAGAGAGTGAGAGAGAAAAAGCTGCCAGGTCCAGGACATGAACCATAGTCAGCCATGCAGGAATCCAGTGCCTTAACCACTACTCCACCTGCTGGCCCAACCCTAACTTCTTAATAGCTGGTAGATTCCTAAATGGTGATGCTGACCATATGGTACAGATGAACAAACATAGTATTATTGTAAGAGGCCAACCATGCATTGCAGAAAAAATACTTTTGGGAAATAAGCAAATAGATTTTTTTTTTCACACTGGAAACAGAGAGAGGAAAAAAATAAACTCTTTAAAGATCAGATGTATCATCTAAGTGGATTATAACAATTATCATGCCTTGCAATGTGTTAACATTCTCAAAACTAAGCTATTTGCATATCTTTTAAGTTCAAGTATATAAATAAAAGTTTTTCATAGAATCTTAGAATGGAAGGAGTCCTCCCTCATAGTCCACTAGTATAACCTTTCATCTCTTAGAAAAGAAACTGGGCCCCAGAGGACAAAGTAACTTCTCTAAGGTTGCATACCAAACAGCATTGTGTTTAATTATGCTATATTGCCTCCTTAGCAATAATAGACCAGTAGAACTCCAAAGAATTTAGGAATAAATGGCAAAATTACACTTGACTTATGGGGTGCATTTCCATATGGCTTTGGCTCTATTGGATGTGCAAACAACAACCAGCTCCACAACAGAAGCAGCTGGTTGCTGATTCTGTGGGTAGGGAGAACCTCTTTTGTTGGGCCTGCTGGTTCTCACAGTGTAGACAGGAGGTGCTGATAAAGCACTCTTTCTCTCCTCCATTAGCCCCTCCTTCTAGCAGTCTGTCGTGAGGGTGGCCTTCCTCTGTCCAGGAGACCAAGCCACTTTGAATTGAGAAGTTGAAAGGTGCTAGTCTTCTTCCATTCTTTACCTCACATTTTTATAAGCCTGATTTTCTCCCTTTGCAAATTTTACAAGCCTGATTTTCTCCCTTTGTAAACTGTTTGCCAGTTTTAGGTTTATTAGCAGGCTTCTAATCTTTTTATCCATGTTCACTGCAGGCAGATATGGTCAAGACCCTGGTGGATTCTTACATGTGATAAGCACAGAGAGTCTGGGCCTCTCTGACAGCGTTACCTCTCCTTTCTAGCCTTACAAGGTGGCTGTGGATGTAGACATAATCTTGTCTAGAGCACCTGGAATAACTTAACCTACTGAGCATCCTTGAATTCTTTATTTTTTAGAGAGATGTTTGCTATAGGGAACGTGCACTTGCCAGAGAGACAGAAGTGAGAAATCACTTCCTGAGGGAATGACCATGTCACAATTCCTTCTCCCCATTCTTCTCTTGGGATTTTGGGCACACGTGCATATATTTCTGGCACGAGTTTCAAGCCACTGGGTCCAGCACTTGAACTGCAATAGGTAATGTGGGAGCCTAGCGCCTTAGCCACTACGCCACCTGCTGGTCTGGAGTGTCTTTGAATTCTTAAACTTCTGTGTGTTAGGACATTTTTAAATAGCAAGAGCTAGGAGGAATTCGATTATTGAAAAATGGTTAATGTACCTCAAAACACTAATTTAAGACTCGAGTGAGGGTTTTTTTTTTTTTTAAGTGAATTATTGTGCTTTCCTTTGATTCTTGTAACACAATGTAACTTATTTTCTTCCTTTCTGGAGTTTGGATTTTGATGTGCATGCACCCCTACCTCTGTTTCAGACGCTGGTGAACCTCTGCAGTCGGTCTCCATGTAAAAACAAAGGTACTTGTGTTCAGGAAAAAGCAGAGTCCCGGTGCCTGTGTCCCTCTGGATGGGCTGGTGCTTACTGTGATGTGCCCAGTGTCTCTTGTGAGGTGGCGGCTTCCCGCAGAGGTGAGCTCTGACCCTTGGCCTCAAGGGTCAAATATTGACTGACCAGGAACATTGAGAACAGATAGTACTTCTGCGGGATGAGAGGGCAGGACAGGTGGCAATGGATGGCCAGGACTTTAGAGAGGGGACCTGAGGTAGAAGGTGAGGGGCAGAAGACCACGTTTAGAGATTCTAAACAGAAATATATCTGAAGTAAAACTAAGGCATATTCTGCTTTTAGGGCTTGTTTTTAATATAAATCTGGTGCCAAGGGTTGTGAAGAACTAGAGAAGAGTAAAATGTGCTGTGTTGGCAGGCTTAGATTTGTTTGCTCATTAGTTGGTCTGCACCCCACTCTTCTGACATTCTCCCTTTCTCCGCTGTGCTCCCAGGCGTGCCCGTTGACCGCTTGTGCCAGCACTCAGGCATCTGCATCAGCGCTGGCAGCACGCATCACTGCCAGTGCCCTCTGGGCTACACCGGCAGCTACTGCGAGGAGCAGCTCGATGAGTGTGCATCCAACCCCTGCCAGCACGGGGCCACCTGCAGCGACTTCATTGGTGGATACAGGTGTGAGGTGAGCAAGATGAGCTGGCAGAGGTCAGAGACCTCCCAGGAGATGGTGCAGCTGTTTTGAATGTAATATATTAGATTTTGCTGCTTATGTCCAATATATGCAGTTTATAGATTCTTACCATCATCATATTGTTTATCAGTCACTGATTCTTTCAGCCTCCCTATGCAGTAAGTGAACATGGGCCTAGTAATACATTCTTATGAGGCCTGGGCCCATGTCACCTCCCTTAATGGGCTTGCTTCCAGGCACCCATGCACAGGTCCTTGGCATGTCACCAAATAATAGCTGAATAGGGAAGCCACTGTGAGGAGTGCCTCTCTGGCCTGTGTCATTTTTTACGTAAAGTCATTCATCAATCAACTAATAATTTTCTCAAAATAAAGAGAAAAAGGAGTTGCTCAGCCTCTTCTATGTAGCATCATGCTAAATGTCACATATGTAATATTTAAGAAAGTTTGTGTCTTTTAAGACCATTCACTGTCTTAATGCCTGGGCTGATAATGGTTAGAGCAAGATATTAATAAAACTCCAGAGGGGCCTGACAGTGGTGCAGCTGTAAGACACTACCCTTTTGGGGACAGTCCCACATGAGAAAGCTCTGGTTCAAGTCTGAAGACTACTCCGAGTGTGCTGGGCACGCGATTGCCATGTCCCAGGACTGGCTGAAGGTGGGGGTATATCATTGCAGCAGGACTCTATTTGGGTGCTGTCATCTGCCTCACTCCCTCTCTTGCTCACTCATGGAAGAAATAAATGAATAAACTTTTAAAAACAAAACACCAGAAACATGAATTTGCTACCAGTTCAGGCCACCAGAAAGCACTGAGAAAAGCTTTGCTTCTCTGTTAAATAAATGAGCCAAAGATGGCCTCTTATTTTGGCCCCCGGATTGTTTATGTCTTCACAGAGGGCTGAGGCCCATTAATGCAAAGGCCTGCAAGGGTGCCAAACTCAGATTTTTCACATATCCAGTTGTGTTAAACATGGTCAAAATAAGTAGATTTTTAGCCATTTAGAGCTGACGCACTTCATTTATCCTACAAAAGTGCACCCATTGTCTGCTGGCCGTAGATGAGATAAACCCCGGGCCGTAAAGACCCCAAGTACCTGCTTCCTTTCTCAGCTCTCTGACCCAGAGTCGCCTGCTGGTGGACTGCCGAGTGACGGACTTTCCCCACGTGCAAACCTGTCAAAAGGTTGCCCAAATAGAGCCTCCTCACAGTCATACATTTTCTTTGGTCAGCCCTAACATTTTTCCTACTCCCACAACTACCTTCTCCCACTCTACCACCACCGGCCAGGCCCACCTCCCTCTGCCCCCACCCTCATCTCTACCAGTGTTTCACACATACATGGAGTCTCTGAGCCTGTCTTTACTACACTGTGCACACATAGTGTTTGAACAAGTCATGAGGTCCTCAGCACAGACAAAAGAATGCACATGTTAAAAGATGAGGAAGACCTGCACACAGGAGGGAAAGAAGTTTTACACGAGGTCATGCCTGAAATATCCCTTAGAATATTCAGTCCTTACCATCCCTGTACAGTGGTGTTTTTAGCTGGAAGAGGTCAATGCCAGTACGCTAGAGCAGAGTGACTTCACTGGATGAGGAGCAGAGACTGATGATTTCAGAGACGCCTAGGGGAGCAGAGTGTCCCAGATCCCAGTAATGCGCCTGCTCTCGCTTGCTCTCATGGTCTCCAGTAGTGACTCAATATATCTTGTCCCTTTTGCTTCCTCCTGGCAGTGTGTCCCAGGATATCAGGGTGTCAACTGTGAGTATGAAGTGGACGAGTGCCAGAATCAGCCCTGCCAGCACGGGGGCACCTGTGTCGACCTGGTGAACCACTTCAAGTGCTCCTGCCCACCAGGCACTCGGGGTATGTCATTAACCTTGCTCATCCTTTACTACATTTTAAATTCCCAGATGTAGTTGGGTGCTTTTTGGACTTTAATTGTTGTCTTATTGTTCTGTTAATTCACCAATAATACCCTGTTTAAATCATGAAGGAACTTTTTCATGGTTTTTCTGGTTATGGCTTTTTTTTTCTCCCTTTTTTCCATGTACTTCTTTAGTTATCTTGGGTTTGAAAATATCCTGCTGGTATTTTATAATGGTGTCAAGCTAAATGTATAATTAGTGTAGAGAAAATCAATATCTTGATGATGAGGAGTCTTCTAACTAAGTCATGGTATATCTTTACATTCACTGAAGTCTCCTTTCGTCTATCAGGACAACTTCAAAGTTGTCTTTTTATAGATGCGGCATATTTCTCATTAAGATTATTCCTAGGCATTTTATCTTTGCAGTTGCTATTGAAAATGGGGTCTGTTCTTACATTTCTTTTTTCTTCTTCTTTTTTTTTTTTGAGAGAGATTTTTTGCTGTAGGGCTGGAGAGACAGAGACAGAAAGTGAAAAATCACCTCATGGCAGGGATGGCCATGCTGCAACCCCGTCTCCGTTCTTTTCTTGGGATCTTGGGCAGGCACGCACGCACACATGCCTGGATAAGTTTTAAGCCCCCAGGTTCGAGATTTGGACCACAGTTGACTTTGTGGGAGCCCAGTAATATAACCATTACGCCATCTGCTGGTTCCGGATTTCTTTTTCTTTTTAATAGTCTTGCTTTTGTTATTAGATACTAGATATGGAAGTGGCAGGAATACCACAGGAATGGTTTTCTTTAGTAACATTTTGAATTAATTATAGTCATTTGTAGAATGATCATTGGCTTCTTTTGCATTTCTGTTTTCTTAAAAAGATATTTATTCAAACTAGATGGCTTATTTATATCCACAGTTCATTAAATGAGTTCTTTTTTAAGTGAAATGAACTTTGAGCTTTCAGCAACATATTTCCCCTCTATTTATTTTTTTAAATAAGAAACATTAGTGCCCTTAAACTACTTTTCAGAAAAAAAGTCAATTATTATAAAACTTAAAAATATATATCACTCAAAAACTTAAAAATATACATCTCTCTTAAAAAAACTTGATATATATAAAATACATAGATATGTATATGTAAATATGTATCAATATACATAAAATATATATCATACTTAAAAAAGCTTAAAAATATGTATCACTCAAAATTCAATTTCAATTCCAATTCTTAGCAATATTTTATGCAGCCATAACCTATGTATTTACTAAGTTATGCTTTTTGAACTATTTTTATACTTTTAATTAAAGAAATAAAGTAATGTCAAGTTACTGAGTCTCTCTTGAGCTCTAGTTCCCTTGCCTTTGCAGTGGACAACTAACAGTACCAACACTGCAGGTTCCAACTTCATTGCTTTGTGTGGGAGAGTACGTGGTCAGCCTCAACATATCTTTCCTTTGCTCGTACTGCTCACCAGGAGGATGGCAGCTGTCATGGACCAAGAGCACGCTTTGCCCTGCCTGACCTGAGAGATCCCATTGCAGATTGAGGAGTGTAATAAAATTAATGGGAAGATACCAGCAAAGGTGACGGTCTCTTGCTGGACACAGAATTCAAATTTTCAAAATTCTATATCTCTGTTTCCTCCAGGACTACTCTGTGAAGAGAACATCGATGACTGTGCTGGGGGTCCACATTGCCTTAATGGTGGTCAATGCGTGGATAGAATTGGGGGCTACACTTGTCGCTGTTTGCCTGGCTTTGCTGGGGAGCGGTGTGAAGGAGACATCAATGAGTGCCTCTCCAACCCCTGCAGCTCTGAGGGCAGTCTGGACTGCATACAGCTTACCAACGACTACCTGTGTGTCTGCCGCAGTGCCTTCACTGGTGAGGCTCTCCCACTTCCCGACCCTTCTGCTGAGAAGGAGGCTCTGAGCAAGCAAACTGGCCCCTGCATGACTTCCCCAGACCCAAGTGAAGCTTTCTGTACCCACAAAAAACAAGACCAGCTTAATTTAAGGGCCTAGTTTCTTCCTAGGTCTGCACTCCATGGATGTTACAGTTAAGCTCTACCTTGTGTTTTTCTTGAGACTCTCTCTCTTTCGTTATGCATTAATTATATAATGCTATAGTAGGCATATTTTTAAAGATCATGTGTTGGGAGTCATTGAGCCAAGTAATGCTTTTTGATTATATAAAATACACGAAACCTATCATTTATCACATTAACCTTTTTTTTTGAGAGAGAGATTTTCACTGTAGGGCGCGTGCGTTCGCCAGACAGACAGAGACATAGAGACAGAAAGCGAGAAATCACCCCCCAGGGGGGATGGTCACGCCGCAATCCCCTCTCTTCCATTCTCCTCTCGGGATCTTGGGCACGCACGCACACGTGCCCGGCGTGAGTTTTTTAAGCCACCGGGTCCGGGACACGAACCGTGGTCGACTACGTGGGAATCCAGCGACATAGCCATTACACTAACTGCTGGTTCCCGTCACATTAACCATTTTTCAGTGTATTGTTCAGTGGCATTGAATGCATTCAGATTGTTATGTTACTATCACTACTGTCCATCTTCAGAACTATATTCTTAGTTTTTATGACAGGGTCTCACTTATCCTTTGGTTTAGTTTCCCAGATAGGACTGCAGGTGTCACTACCACAACCAGGTTTTTTTCAGACAGCCACGCTGTGGTGCCCAGACTAGCCTTCAGTTCATGTTCCTCCTGCTTCAGCCTCTTGAGTGGCTGGGATTACAGGCACACGCCACCACATCCAGCCTTTAGGTTGGACCGGGAACCGAATCTGGGTTTCTCACATGATCCTGGCCTGCGGAGCATAGCTTCTTAGCCATGTTCACCACCGCAGCTGGATCTCAGAACTCTTTTCATCTGAGCAAAATAACATTTTGTGTTTAGCAACCTTACCTCTGACTCTGCCTTCACCATCCTGGCTCCTTGACGTGTAATGTGTTGAGTTACTAGGCAGTTCCTGTCATTTTGATATTTCCATTTCTGGGTCATAGAAGAGCTAAGAACCCACTAAGACAGTCAAGGGGAGTGGATCCAAACTGAGGTGCCTTTAACCAAAAGTCAGATGATGAGGGTATGAGCTGGAAAACTACCATTGTCACATGTATTCCCTGCACAGCTAAGGCTTGGCATTGCTAGTCTTACTAGTAATTATTAAGTAAGGCGGCATTAGCATTCCTAGTCTTCTCTCAAGTTTCTTTTATTCATTTCAGGGCATAATAATAACCAAGCCCTACCTCAGAATAGGGGCTTTATCACAGGCATTTCTCTCTCTCTCTTTTTTTTTTGAAGTTTTTTGTTGTTCTTGCTGTTTTTCTTCCCCCCCCCCTTAGGGCATGTGCACTTACTGGAGAAAGATACAATGAGGGGGAAAGTGAGAAATCACCCCCACCTCCAGGGGGAATGGCCATACCACAATCCCTTCCCCAGTCTCTTCATGGAATCTTGGGCATGCATGCACATATGCCTGGTGTGATTTTGAAGCCACTGGGTCCAGGACTTGAACCATGGTCAGCCATGTGGGAGTCCAGAGATATAACCGCTAAACCATCTGCTGGTTCCTCACAGACATTTATTAGTCACTACTGGAGAAGTATAGTGTGGTGGCTTCGGGGGGCTGAAATTGTTGTTTGTGTCTGTGTTTGGCAGGATCATCAGATACTCAGATTTGAAATCTGTCTTGAATTTTCTGCGTGTCAAGCTAAATGTATAATTAGTGTAGAGAAAATCAATATCTTGATGATGAGGAGTCTTCTAACTAAGTCATGGTATATCTTTACATTCACTGAAGTCTCCTTTCGTCTATCAGGACAACTTCAAAGTTGTCTTTTTATAGATGCGGCATATTTCTCATTAAGATTATTCCTAGGCATTTTATCTTTGCAGTTGCTATTGAAAATGGGGTCTGTTCTTACATTTCTTTTTTCTTCTTCTTTTTTTTTTTTGAGAGAGATTTTTTGCTGTAGGGCTGGAGAGACAGAGACAGAAAGTGAAAAATCACCTCATGGCAGGGATGGCCATGCTGCAACCCCGTCTCCGTTCTTTTCTTGGGATCTTGGGCAGGCACGCACGCACACATGCCTGGATAAGTTTTAAGCCCCCAGGTTCGAGATTTGGACCACAGTTGACTTTGTGGGAGCCCAGTAATATAACCATTACGCCATCTGCTGGTTCCGGATTTCTTTTTCTTTTTAATAGTCTTGCTTTTGTTATTAGATACTAGATATGGAAGTGGCAGGAATACCACAGGAATGGTTTTCTTTAGTAACATTTTGAATTAATTATAGTCATTTGTAGAATGATCATTGGCTTCTTTTGCATTTCTGTTTTCTTAAAAAGATATTTATTCAAACTAGATGGCTTATTTATATCCACAGTTCATTAAATGAGTTCTTTTTTAAGTGAAATGAACTTTGAGCTTTCAGCAACATATTTCCCCTCTATTTATTTTTTTAAATAAGAAACATTAGTGCCCTTAAACTACTTTTCAGAAAAAAAGTCAATTATTATAAAACTTAAAAATATATATCACTCAAAAACTTAAAAATATACATCTCTCTTAAAAAAACTTGATATATATAAAATACATAGATATGTATATGTAAATATGTATCAATATACATAAAATATATATCATACTTAAAAAAGCTTAAAAATATGTATCACTCAAAATTCAATTTCAATTCCAATTCTTAGCAATATTTTATGCAGCCATAACCTATGTATTTACTAAGTTATGCTTTTTGAACTATTTTTATACTTTTAATTAAAGAAATAAAGTAATGTCAAGTTACTGAGTCTCTCTTGAGCTCTAGTTCCCTTGCCTTTGCAGTGGACAACTAACAGTACCAACACTGCAGGTTCCAACTTCATTGCTTTGTGTGGGAGAGTACGTGGTCAGCCTCAACATATCTTTCCTTTGCTCGTACTGCTCACCAGGAGGATGGCAGCTGTCATGGACCAAGAGCACGCTTTGCCCTGCCTGACCTGAGAGATCCCATTGCAGATTGAGGAGTGTAATAAAATTAATGGGAAGATACCAGCAAAGGTGACGGTCTCTTGCTGGACACAGAATTCAAATTTTCAAAATTCTATATCTCTGTTTCCTCCAGGACTACTCTGTGAAGAGAACATCGATGACTGTGCTGGGGGTCCACATTGCCTTAATGGTGGTCAATGCGTGGATAGAATTGGGGGCTACACTTGTCGCTGTTTGCCTGGCTTTGCTGGGGAGCGGTGTGAAGGAGACATCAATGAGTGCCTCTCCAACCCCTGCAGCTCTGAGGGCAGTCTGGACTGCATACAGCTTACCAACGACTACCTGTGTGTCTGCCGCAGTGCCTTCACTGGTGAGGCTCTCCCACTTCCCGACCCTTCTGCTGAGAAGGAGGCTCTGAGCAAGCAAACTGGCCCCTGCATGACTTCCCCAGACCCAAGTGAAGCTTTCTGTACCCACAAAAAACAAGACCAGCTTAATTTAAGGGCCTAGTTTCTTCCTAGGTCTGCACTCCATGGATGTTACAGTTAAGCTCTACCTTGTGTTTTTCTTGAGACTCTCTCTCTTTCGTTATGCATTAATTATATAATGCTATAGTAGGCATATTTTTAAAGATCATGTGTTGGGAGTCATTGAGCCAAGTAATGCTTTTTGATTATATAAAATACACGAAACCTATCATTTATCACATTAACCTTTTTTTTTGAGAGAGAGATTTTCACTGTAGGGCGCGTGCGTTCGCCAGACAGACAGAGACATAGAGACAGAAAGCGAGAAATCACCCCCCAGGGGGGATGGTCACGCCGCAATCCCCTCTCTTCCATTCTCCTCTCGGGATCTTGGGCACGCACGCACACGTGCCCGGCGTGAGTTTTTTAAGCCACCGGGTCCGGGACACGAACCGTGGTCGACTACGTGGGAATCCAGCGACATAGCCATTACACTAACTGCTGGTTCCCGTCACATTAACCATTTTTCAGTGTATTGTTCAGTGGCATTGAATGCATTCAGATTGTTATGTTACTATCACTACTGTCCATCTTCAGAACTATATTCTTAGTTTTTATGACAGGGTCTCACTTATCCTTTGGTTTAGTTTCCCAGATAGGACTGCAGGTGTCACTACCACAACCAGGTTTTTTTCAGACAGCCACGCTGTGGTGCCCAGACTAGCCTTCAGTTCATGTTCCTCCTGCTTCAGCCTCTTGAGTGGCTGGGATTACAGGCACACGCCACCACATCCAGCCTTTAGGTTGGACCGGGAACCGAATCTGGGTTTCTCACATGATCCTGGCCTGCGGAGCATAGCTTCTTAGCCATGTTCACCACCGCAGCTGGATCTCAGAACTCTTTTCATCTGAGCAAAATAACATTTTGTGTTTAGCAACCTTACCTCTGACTCTGCCTTCACCATCCTGGCTCCTTGACGTGTAATGTGTTGAGTTACTAGGCAGTTCCTGTCATTTTGATATTTCCATTTCTGGGTCATAGAAGAGCTAAGAACCCACTAAGACAGTCAAGGGGAGTGGATCCAAACTGAGGTGCCTTTAACCAAAAGTCAGATGATGAGGGTATGAGCTGGAAAACTACCATTGTCACATGTATTCCCTGCACAGCTAAGGCTTGGCATTGCTAGTCTTACTAGTAATTATTAAGTAAGGCGGCATTAGCATTCCTAGTCTTCTCTCAAGTTTCTTTTATTCATTTCAGGGCATAATAATAACCAAGCCCTACCTCAGAATAGGGGCTTTATCACAGGCATTTCTCTCTCTCTCTTTTTTTTTTGAAGTTTTTTGTTGTTCTTGCTGTTTTTCTTCCCCCCCCCCTTAGGGCATGTGCACTTACTGGAGAAAGATACAATGAGGGGGAAAGTGAGAAATCACCCCCACCTCCAGGGGGAATGGCCATACCACAATCCCTTCCCCAGTCTCTTCATGGAATCTTGGGCATGCATGCACATATGCCTGGTGTGATTTTGAAGCCACTGGGTCCAGGACTTGAACCATGGTCAGCCATGTGGGAGTCCAGAGATATAACCGCTAAACCATCTGCTGGTTCCTCACAGACATTTATTAGTCACTACTGGAGAAGTATAGTGTGGTGGCTTCGGGGGGCTGAAATTGTTGTTTGTGTCTGTGTTTGGCAGGATCATCAGATACTCAGATTTGAAATCTGTCTTGAATTTTCTGCGATCTATAGTTATATTTTTTCCACTGAGGATGTTATTGGGTTCCTTGCTGTCAGATAACAGGCTCTAGTACTTAGTTTGGTAGTAACTTGGTAAGCTAGACCTTGCTGTATCCTGAGCCCATCTCTAGCCTTCCTTTCCCCCACTGTTAAAGATAGGCTTTCTTTAAGAATACTGGAATTTTATAAAGATCGAAGTTTTCTAATAGGGAAGCTACCTGGGTGCAGTAATACCAAAAGAGAGATAGTCCTTTACAAACATCATACGTAGTGAGACAACATGAGCCAGAGAGTTTAAACAGTCTGTCTGCAGCCCCCTATTGGTCAGAGTGACACAGGAATTCAGAGAGCTGCTGTTTCTTTCATTGCCTCTGGGACTTCCTTTCTTTGAAAACACTGATGAGGATGTATGTAGTAGTCCCAACTGGGCTGGACTGAGGTGTATATCATGCTGGGTAAAGTCTCTTCACAATCGAAATGACATATAGTGATTTAATAAATAAATAATAATTTTAAAAATTAATAAAGTATCATATATACTAAAAAAACAAACAAACTAAAACAATGAGAAGGAAACAGGAGAAAGAAAAAAATGGAGACCTTGAATTAGTATCCCACAGCCAGGAAGTGTACCTTTTCCACACTCATGAATGAGAAAAATCTTGTGAGCACATTGACTGCCATGGTTGTGGGATGCTCTTCTTGAGACAAGCATGAGGGATAACTGGGCCACTGAGCCATATACATTTGGCAGTTGCTCTTGGTCAGAGGCCTCTGCTGTGTTCTTGAGAGACAAGCATTTGTAACTCTTGTTTCTTAAGTCCAGTTGGCCAAAAATATCACAATCTTCATTTTGTTTTGTTTTAAAGCTGCCTCTTCCCTCCTAAGAGACCTTGGGCCAGATGGAGACCATCTTGCTCCTTGCCAAGAGATCCCAGCTGTGCCTCATGTCTCTGCCTAGTTCTTTAGTATGGAGCCAGATGCCTTCTATTTTGAACTGTTTCTAAAAGAAATTGGCTCTGGGAAAACTGAGCTGTATTTTAAAGTAACACCATGCTGATTACAGAAAAGCCAAACAATGATTGAAAAGAGACTTCATAGACGAAGGTTCTCTGTATACAACAGATCACCATTTAGAGTCAATGACCTAGTACAGTATTTTTGGCATTATTGCATCTGGTGCCTTCAAAAAGCTGAGGTGTGATTTTCTTTTTTTGTTTGTTTCTGTTTTTGTTTTCATGGAATGAGGGTTGCTCTTCACATCCATCTTTCTGTGAGTCTGGAGATGCATATCCCACATGTGCTCATGCTGTAGGGTGGACAGATGAGGAGACTGTCTGAACCAGTTCCAGTTTTCTTTATCTCCTCCTGTCCCCGCAGGCTTAGGACTGAATTTTCGCACCTCTTGCTCCATTCATGGTTGGTTCCCCTCATAGTGGGTTCTGGTTAGTAACTCGCTGTTGTGACCTCTTATTTTTTACACTAAGGCCGTCACTGTGAAACGTTCGTGGATGTGTGTCCCCAGATGCCTTGCCTGAATGGAGGGACTTGTGCTGTGGCCAGCAACATGCCCGATGGTTTCATTTGTCGTTGTCCTCCGGTAAGTGCCCTGGCGCTGATTTAAAGGGCAAGCTCTCTCCTCCTAGCTCTGTGATGGGGAAACTTTACAATTTTAGTTCCTTCAGAAGAAAGTGCTTATTTTTTTGTGTTACTTTGGTTGTTGTTAGCTTTTCTTTTTTTAATTTAAAGCTGTTTAGATACTCCCCAGAATGATGAGTTTACCAATCTATGGACTGTCAGTTTTCAGAAGTACCAAGAGAAAAAAAGAACAAAGGAAGAGGGAGGATGTTCCTTTGAGTATAGAGTTCATGTCTCTGGCTTCTTAGTCCTATGCGGTGCTCAGTCTTTCTGCTTGGCTGGGCCAGAGATAGTAGAAGCATTGTTCTGTTTATATTCATTAGCAGGGACCATTTGGGAACAAATTGCTTCTTAAACTAGAAGGAAATTTAATTTTAGTTGTTTGCTATGCAAACTTTTGCAACTGCCAGAGATTGTACCCTTCCTAAAGCAGAGTTCAGTGTGTGGGGAGATAACAGAAACCTGTCCAGTAACTTTGGCTTGGGCTGATCAAGAGTCCAAGAAGGAAATGAGATGTGAGAATTTTCTGGAGACCAAAACTCTCAGCATGGCCTTTTTCTCCCTTAAAGCCATGATATGAGTGGTCTAATGGTGACTAGGGAAGGGTGTCTATAGACACAATGCCACTTGACCATCGTCTCACCCAGACCTAGGATAATCTCTAAAAGTAAGCTCTTAAAGTGAAGCAACTCTACATTCATCCCATTGATCCTTCAGCCCCAACCCACAGATTGACTTCAAGAGATCATTTCCTAGAACTTGGTCCAAGAGACTACATAGAGGGATTGTAACTTAAATGTCCAGTCTTTATTCTCCCTAGAGGTGTGATAGGGAGGGAAAAATGGAACAAGCCCTCGAGAGTCTTCTTGCCATCATTTCTTCACCAATTTTCACAGGGATTCTCTGGGGCAAGATGCCAGAGCAGCTGTGGACAAGTGAAGTGCAGGAGAGGGGAGCGCTGTGTGCATACTCCCTCGGGACCCCGCTGCTTCTGCCCCAATCCTCAGGACTGCGAATCAGGCTGTGCCAGTAGCCCCTGCCAGCATGGTGGTAGCTGCCACCCTCAGCGTCAGCCTCCTTACTACTCCTGCCAGTGCTCCCCACCTTTTGGGGGCAGCCACTGTGAATTCTACACACCCCCTAGTACCCCTCCTGCCACCTGTCTGAGCCAGTATTGTGCTGACAAAGCTCGGGATGGCGTCTGCGATGATGCCTGCAACAGCCACGCCTGCCAGTGGGATGGGGGCGACTGTTCTCTCACCATGGAGAACCCCTGGGCCAACTGCTCCTCCCCACTTCCCTGCTGGGATTATATCAACAACCAGTGTGATGAGCTGTGCAACACGGCCGAGTGCCTTTTTGACAACTTCGAATGCCAAGGAACTAGCAAGACATGCAAGTAAGGGTTCCAGGGTCTCTGGAAGCTGAGGGGACTGTTACTAACACATCTTGGTTTCTCATTCTTGCTCCTAACCACTCCAGTGCTTCAGCCCAAGCTGCCTCTGCTTTCAGATGGTGCCAGCCTTGTCCCATCACACACTACCCTGTGCTCTCCTTTGCTGACGGAGAGCCAGGAATGCTCACTGCATAGTCACCCTCTCTCTCTGGCTATCTCTGCCTTCTCACCTGCTGCTCTAGTGACCTCCTTGGGGAAATAACTTACGGAAATGGTGTTACCCACTGTCGGGCAGCCTCTCACATCGTCTGCCTACAGAATGGATGGAAAGGTCTGTACCTCTTTCTTCACCCATCCCTTTCCCTGATTGGTTTTCCCCAATCTAGATTTATCAGGGAATGTGAACTGGATTAGGCCTCTTAACCCTCCTGGTCTTCATTTTGACAATTATAGGATGCTTTAAAATTACATAGTAATTTTCCAATGAACTATTCCATTTAGTTTAACCCCAGTGAATTCTCAACAACCTCATGAGACATAGATATTGTTAATGAACTTTCATAGCTGGTGCCCGGAAGGTTAAAGAACTTGCCAAAGCACATACAGTCAACTATAAAAAACTCATGGATTTAAATGGAATTAAAGTATGAGTTTATTTTGGTGCAAGAAAAATGGAAATGCATTAGTTTTGTTCATGCTGCATGCTTTCCATGAACTTTCTGAAGACCCTTCATACACTCCTTCCTGATTCCTGATTTTTCCATTGAGCTGGTGTGGCAAGTTGTACCAAATGGTGCACATTTCCAGGGGTGGAGGTAGATAGAAGAGAGTGCAGATGACATCATTTGTGCATCAGTTGGATTGTGGGAGCTGGGTGGGAGGGAGGTGCATTCTAATTCCTTTCCCCAATATTAGAAAAAGGCTATACAAGTTAGATCCTGTCTAGGGCATAATCTTCTCCCTTACCTTCTGTAGTAGAGATTCCACCCCAATGGTAAAAGGGAAGGAAATGGGCCATATGACTTGTTCTCTGTATTGCCACTCTTGATGGTTCAGGGCTACTTATCCAGTTTCTGGAGGTACCTTCTAGAGGTACCTTTTACTTCTTAAAATCCATTGTTACTTTACTGAAGACAGTGGTTACAACATAGGGAATTCATAAACCAGATTGACTTTTGTTTCAGTAGGTAGTTTTTTAAAAATATTTTGACTCAACGTGATTGTGAGAGGCCTGAGAGCCCATAGGCCACCCTTAGAGAGCACAGGGCAGCTGCTCATTCAGGAACTGTTCAACAGTGTTGACTGGAATAGGCTCTATGAACCTTAAGACAGATCAGCAATGTGAGATTTAGAGAAGGCCTCACCGGGCAGTTGGGTTCTTCTACTGACCCCAGAAAATGAGTAGAAAAACATAAGGCAGTAGAAAAGAAATAGAGCTCCAGTCTAACCTGAGTCCCTTTCTCTGTTTTCTCCTCCTCTACCTCTCCTGCCTAGGTATGACAAATACTGTGCAGACCACTTCAAAGACAACCACTGTGACCAGGGATGCAACAGTGAGGAGTGTGGCTGGGATGGGCTGGACTGTGCTGCTGACCAGCCTGAGAACCTGGCAGAGGGCACCTTGGTTATCGTGGTGCTGATGCCACCTGAACAACTGCTCCAGGACGCTCGCAGTTTCTTGCGGGCACTGGGTACCCTGCTCCACACCAACCTACGCATCAAGCGGGACCCCCAAGGGGACCTCATGGTGTACCCCTATTATAGTGAAACATCAGCTGCCATGAAGAGGCGGAAGATGGCACGCAGGTCCCTTCCTGGTGAACAAGAACGGGAGGTGGATGGGTAGGTTTTTCCTAAAGATGAATTGTATAAAGCTGAGCACACTGCAGCAGTGATAACTCAGTCTATAAACTCAAAGTTTAGATAATTAGAAGGGCTCACCATGTAAGATAACCCATTATCCAAGTACTTATGCCTAATGGTAAAGATCTGTGTAGATATTGGGGTCTTGAAAGGTGGGTTGGAACAAGTGGTAGGCAGGATGTTAAGGCCTCCTCAAGTGCTAGAATCCCTAACTTGTAGCTAATGTTGCCTTAAATCCCTTTGTTAGTGACTCCACTTCGTATTAATCATTGTCTTATTCTTAAAGCCTTTTGTTTATAAGTTTTTTTGACAAAGGTAATTATCTTTAGTCGTTCTGTCACTTACTCCCCACTATTTGGCATATCCCAAAGCTTTCAGTCCTCTAGTTAGCTGAGGTAACAGATGCAGAGACAAAAGAGAATAAGGACCAGGGCAAGCACATGGCGTAGTGATTACTTTGGTGCGCTCTCGCATGGCCAACTGTGGTTCTAGTCCTGGACCCGGTGACTTGAAAATCATGCCAGGTGCATGTGCATGCATGCCCAAGATTCCAGGAGGGGAATAGAGGAAGAGGAATTGTAGCATGATTATTCCCCCTGGGGGATGACTTCTCCCTTTCTCTCCACTGTGTGTTTCTCTCTGGTGAGCACATACACCCTAAGGCAAAACAAAACAAAACAAAACAATATAAAAACAAACTCTAAAAAGAAGGAAAAAAAAGAATAAGAACCAAAAGAAGTGCAGGAATATTTTTGGAGTAGCATGAAGCAGTACTGAGTAAGTAGGAAGGGGTGGAAAACCCTGTCCTTCAGGAGGGGTGTGCTGAAGCCCAGCTTCACCAGCTTTCTCACTTTGTGCTGTGTGGGCCTCAGTCAGAGGCTTAGATGAGCCAGATCAAGCAGGGAAAGACATCTCCTGACTAGGAATTAGTGTTTAAGATTTTTAAGGGATAGCATCTTAACTTGTGAGCTCTTTCTGAAGGCAATGTCCTCTATGTGGAGAGCCATGCTAAAGGGAAGAAGGAATGAGCCTTTTCTGACCCAGCTTGCTTGGCCTGTACTGATCTGTTTTACCTACTATTTCTTGTCTTCCATTTTTCCCATGGGACCCCCCCAGCTCAAAGGTATTTCTGGAAATTGACAACCGCCAGTGTGTTCAAGACTCAGACCAGTGCTTCAAGAACACAGATGCCGCAGCAGCTCTTCTGGCCTCCCACGCCATCCAGGGGACCCTGTCGTACCCTCTTGTGTCTGTCATTAGTGAGTGACACTGGTGTTAAGGAGTATTAAGGGGAAAGGCTGGGGGGAGGGTGTTCCTGGGGACTTAGTTTTCCAAGTGTAGCCCTCTATTTTTCAGGGCTGGTGAGGTCAAGTTGCCCTCTGTGTGAATTTAATGCTCATATCGAGAGGTTGTTGTTTTATTCAGCACTTTTCCTGTCTCTTTGGACTTTCAGGTGACTCCCTGGCTCCAAAGCGCACTCAGCTTCTCTATCTACTTGCTGTTGCTGTTGTCATTATCCTGTTTATCATCCTGCTTGGGGTGATCATGGCAAAACGAAAGCGTAAACATGGCTCCCTCTGGCTGCCTGAAGGTTTCACCCTTCGCCGAGACTCCAGCAATCATAAGCGTCGTGAGCCAGTGGGACAGGATGCCGTGGGGCTGAAGTAAGAGAGTCTACCAACAAGCCACTGTTAGAGTTATAGGCAGAGATAAATGGAAAAGCATAGCTTGTTGAATCATTTTAAATTCTAAGCGCTGGCCATTTAATCACACTGACCATGATTCTGATGGTCAGGGGCGAGTGATTCTGACACCAGGGGCGAGTCTGGAAGCGTCTGTTCTGGATATGCTCTCACAGTGTCACTTGTCTTCTGTGTTGAGAATCACTTTTATAGTAAGCTTTTGCTCAAAGGGAAGGGAAAGGAAATGGCACATGAAATATTGCCTTTCTTCTCTGGGCGAAGGCCCCTGAAGTTGGAGTATAGACATAGGAATGTCATGGTGGGAAAAATGTTGAAATGCACATTAGTTTATGTTTTAACCTCTGCTCTTATATTTTCCTTTGTCATCCAATCAGAAATCTCTCAGTGCAAGTCTCAGAGGCTAACCTAATTGGTTCTGGAACAAGTGAACACTGGGTTGATGATGAAGGTCCCCAGCCAAAGAAAGCCAAGGTAAGCTGGCCATGGTAGAACCACCATTGTCAGCATCAGCTAGTCACATTTCAAATCCGGTCTTTTAGATCTAGCAGGTCTGGAAATATATGTCGCCCAGACTATGGCCATCCCAGATTCTTGGGAACTTGAGAAATCTTTAGGTTACTGATGTCCTTAGGTTACCTGTGGAATTTATGTTTTTCAAGAAGAACCCTTAAAAAATGTTAAAACTAACATGCCTCCTTCCTCTAGTGTCATGCTGACAACGATCAAGTCAGGACTGTGTGTAAATAGCAGTTTCCTTTGTAGCTAGATCTCTCCCTTATCCTCTCAGGGCACCTCTTTTATAAAAGAAGATGGAATTGAACTGTGTAAAAAAGCCAGTGACCATTGACTTTGGAAGTACTATACCTTGAGCCCAGGAAACTAAAACCTCCTTTTCTTTTTTAAATTTTCTTTCTTAACATTTATTTTGTACATTTAATTAGTGTTCATCAACACAGCTTGTAAAATGAATTTTCTCAGCTTGAACGCACTGCACACCAGTCCAGTTAAAGATAGCATACATGCTATCATCAACAGTCCTCCACTTCTACATCTCCCAAATATCCCCCTCTCTATTTTTCTCCTGGGTTCCCTTCTTCTCACCTTACACTGTATCTGGTATCTACAGCCATTTTCCATGCTTCTATATCCTCCAGTCTTTTCAGTTTCTGCCATAGAGGGTCAACATTTGGTATGTATTAAGCAGGGCCATACTATGTCTCTCTTTCGTAGGCTGACTTGCTTCACTCAGGAGTAAATCTTCCATGTTTGTTCACTTTCTATCAAATACCAGACTCTTTTATTTTTTAATGGCTAAGTAGCATTTCATAATGTACATCTGCCACTTTATTTTCTAAGCTAGAAGTAGTTTTGGCTGAGGCTGATATGAAAAATAAAAAGACCAGACCACCCATCCACAGCTCTGCATGGCTGGAAGCCAGTAGAACATGAGGTTAAGAATATTGATTAGGTGGTGTGGTAGTTAAAGACTGGACTCCCACTTACCTGACTATGGTTCGAGTCCTGGACCTGGTGGCTTACTTTCTCACTCTCTTTTCTTATTTTATTTTTTTATTTTTATTTTTTTGGAGAGTTTTTTTTTTGCTATAGGGTGCGTGTGCTTGCCAGACAGAGAGAGACATAGAGACAGAAAGTGAGAAATCACCCCCCAGGGGGGATGGTCACGCCGCAATCCCTTCTCTCCATTCTCCTCTCCTCTCCATTCTCCTCTCAGGATCTTGGGCACGCACGCACATGCGCCTGGCGTGAGTTTTAAGCCACCGGGTCTGGGACACGAACCATGGTCGACTATGTGGGAGTCCAGTGACATAGCCATTATGCTAACTGCTGGTTCCCCTTTCTTTCTTTTTTTTTAAACTATTATTTTATTTAACTTTATTTATTAGTATTATTTTCCAGTTTGATCAGAGAGAGACAGAGAAAGAGAGGGAAAGTGAGAAAGGAAGCCACCAGGTCCAGGACTTGAACCGCAGTCAGCCATGTGGAAGTCCAGCACCCTTATCACCATGCCACCTGCCAGCCCCCTGCTGGTTCCCCTTTCTCACTCTTTTTTTTTTTTTTTTTGAGAGGTTTTCGCTATAGGGTGCGTGCACTCGCCAGACAGACAGAGAGAGACATAGAGACAGAAAGCGAGAAATCACCCCCCAGGGGGGATGGTCACGCTGCAATCCCTTCTCCTCCATTCTCCTCTCGGGATCTTGGGCACGCACACACATGCGCCCGGCGTGAGTTTTAAGCCACCGGGTCCAGGACACGAACCGCGGTCGACTACGTAGGAATCCAGCGACATAGCCATTACGCTAACTGCTGGTTCCCTTTCTCACTCTCTTGTGACTAGCAAATTTTAAAAATAATAATAAATGGAATTAAATAATTATTTAAGATTTTTTAAAAAAGATGTTACAATCAGACTTGGATTCAAATCCAAAGCTCTGGTGCTTAGCAGCTGACAAATACTCTCGTTATACTAAATTATCCTTATATGTAAAATGGGCATAATAATAACTTTCCTCTGTGAGTTTTTGAGGGGGCTAAGTACAGCAATTTATGTAATGTGCCTTACTTTTCCTGTTACAATCTGAGTATCTAATAGGTAGAGCTGCTTTTAGATGATCACAGTTAATGTTCTTCTACAGTCTTTTGTTGTGTGGTGGGGACTATGTTAAGTACAGGGAGGCAACCTTGAAGATGGCTTATTTTCTCTTCTTGATAACCTTACCTGTCTAGTAGAGACTCCCATGCCATGCCTTGTGAGCACTTAACACAGAGTCAGTGAAGTGGCGGTGAGCAGAGAATGCTTCTTAGGAATTAAAGTCTAGTTTTTATTTGAAGGGTAAGTAGGAGTTAAAAATTTCAAGGAGATAATTGCAGGCAGAAGGAACAGCATGGGTAAAAGCCCAGGAACAAGGATATGGTGCTTTGGGGATCTGTAAGTAGCATATTAAGGCTAAAGTATAGAGTGTGGGTTGGGGAACTGGGAAGAATTGTCCGGTTAATACAGAAATCAGCTGGAAGCCCACCATGAGAGCCATGGGAGCATAATCAAGAGGGTTGGAGGAGGAAGAGACAAACATTGGCTGGGTATTGAGGAGAGGCAGTGGGAGGCTCCGGCCAGATCCTTCTTCTCAGCTCCTGGGGGTGGGTCAGGTTGACAGAGAACATTGCTTCTCCATTCAGGCCGAAGATGAGGCTTTGCTGTCAGAAGAAGATGACCCCATTGACCGGCGCCCATGGACACAGCAGCACCTCGAAGCTGCAGACATCCGCAGGACACCATCGTTGGCTCTTACTCCTCCTCAGGCAGAGCAGGAGGTGGATGTGCTGGATGTGAATGTCCGGGGCCCAGGTCAGCACTGCAGACCTTCCTCCTCATTTGTTGCACCTGCTCTTGGTTCTGCGTGCTGGCCCTGTGTTTGCCCCAGCTGGCCATCTGCCCCTGCTCATTTCACAGATACTGAATCAGCTCGGGGAAATGAATGTTGAAAGAATAAGGCATGCAGAAAATATGTGCTCAGAAGAAAGGGGAGGATTTCACATAGTTTGAGGATAAACAGGTTGATTACATGGATTCAATTTTACTAGGCTAGAAAAAATAATACCCCAGAGCAGCAGATAAAGCATTAGTTTAGTTAACTCCTTATGTATGTAGTTATTTTAATGCTGGATATTTTTAAACATTGCTAAATTATAGCACTTACGCTTGGACTGAAAAGGCTTTTTAACTTAGAGGACAGCTAGCTTAGAGACTCTTTTCTATTACTCTTTACAAAAAGGCATCATGGGAGGCAAAATAGTAGCCAATGTAAAACTGCTTGCTAGTTACCACAAGAAGCACAAAGAATTCTTTTACCTACGAATATTCATACCCAAATAGATCTGTTGCAACAATAGGGTTAATTTCCTTCTCTTCCTTGAACACTTTCCTGAATTTTCCTTTTCCACAGATGGGTGCACTCCACTGATGCTGGCTTCTCTCCGAGGGGGCAGCTCAGATATGAGTGATGAAGATGAAGACGCAGAGGACTCCTCTGCCAACATCATCACAGACTTGGTCTACCAGGGCGCCAGCCTCCAGGCCCAGACAGATCGGACCGGTGAAATGGCCCTGCACCTCGCAGCCCGGTACTCCAGGGCTGATGCCGCCAAGCGTCTCTTGGATGCAGGCGCAGATGCCAATGCCCAGGACAACATGGGCCGCTGCCCTCTCCATGCTGCAGTGGCAGCTGATGCCCAAGGTGTTTTCCAGGTAAAATAAACCAGAAGAGTTGGTTTGAATGATATATGTTCCTTATGGGTCTATAATGTTTTATCTTTGTTAAGGCGCTGAGTATCTCATTGATTGTATAAAAAAATTCAGAAGGGCAGGTGCTAGGGTCATGCTTGCTCTATGGGAAAAGAGGAAAAGGGAAGCAGGCAAACTGGCCTAGGTATACATAGCTAGATAGTGATGGAGTCAGCAGTATACAGTACCTTCTTCTTATTATTATTATTTTATTTTATTTAACTTTATTTCTTTATTTTAATTTGACCAGAGAAGGACAGAGAGAGAAAGTGAGAAAGCAAGCCACCAGGCCCGGGATTCAAACCATAGTCAGCTGTGTGGGAGTCCAGCCACCATGCCACCTGCCAGTCCTAGCACATTCTGGTTTTTGTTCTTTTTCTTGTTATTATTGTTTTGTTTTGTTTTGTTTTGAGAGATTTTTAGGGCTTGTGTGCTCACCAGAAAGATAGACAGAGAGACAGAAAGCGAGAAATCATTCCCCCAGGAGAGACAGCCACACCTCAACCCCTTCTCCTCCCCTCTCCTTTCAGAATTTTGGGTATGCACACACACACGCTCGGTGTGAGTTAAGCTGCTGGGTCTGGGGCTCGAACCGTGGTTAACTATGTGGGAATCCAACAATGTAACCATTATGCTATCTGCTGGTCCCAGCACCTTCTGATTTTTAACAATATTTTTTTTGCCAACACACATCCCATATGGATAGATGAGGCAGGGGTGATACCTGTTTCAGAGCCTTTGACCAGTATCAGCTGCTCCCTGTAGGCATGCCTGGTTCTCTGACCTTCCAGCTGCTCACTGGCAGTGTTCTTGACACAAGTTCAGTGCACTCTGTGATGCTCTTTCATCTAACTTTTGAGAGGAAAAGTGGAAGCACTCTGAGTCACCTTAGACTCATGCTATTCCCCTACATCTCTTTTCTTTCCTTAGAATGGTAGAAAGACATTGATTTACATGGGCCATTAGGTCTTGAGCATTCATCTATCATTCATTCAGCAGGTATTAATTGGTTGACCATAATAGAATCTTGGGCACAAAGATAATGAGACTTCCCTTGCCCTCCAGGAACATGTGGTAGCTTCAGTTCTTACACTCTTGTTACCTTTTCTTAGTTTCATTATTTTCTTCTATCCATGTGTCTTTCTGTGCTCTTTCCTCTTCTAGATTCTGATCCGCAACCGAGTAACTGATTTAGATGCCAGGATGAATGATGGCACCACGCCCCTGATCCTGGCTGCCCGGCTGGCTGTGGAGGGAATGGTGGCAGAACTGATCAATTGCCAAGCAGATGTGAATGCCGTGGATGACCATGGTAGGGACAATGAGATAAGGGTTTGGATCCTTCCCTTCAAAGTATGCCTCTAAGGAGAACTGCTACACAGTCCTTAGAGAACTACCTGGATCTGCATCCACTGGAGATTCATTCATTTTTCTATTCCCACATTAATGAATTCATCCTTCAGCATATTGAGCTCAGAGGACTGAGCCTGCAGGAGGCTCCTAGATTAAGATGAGAAGGGTTTTTAGTGAGTATTCTTGGACTTCACAGCACATCCATGAATGGTTTGCCCAGGCAGGTTCCCAGGCATAACACTCTCAATATGAGGATTTATGATCACTGACTTCACTAAATAGACATTTGGGCACGTGATAGGTAGGTTGTTGTCTTCAGCTGCATGACAGGGTAGATTCTGCCACGCCAATGACATGAATACCAAGGACAACGTGGGCCGCTGCCCTCTCCATGCTGCAGTGGCAGCTGATGCCCAAGGTGTTTTCCAGGTAAAATAAACCAGAAGAGTTGGTTTGAATGATATATGTTCCTTATGGGTCTATAATGTTTTATCTTTGTTAAGGCGCTGAGTATCTCATTGATTGTATAAAAAAATTCAGAAGGGCAGGTGCTAGGGTCATGCTTGCTCTATGGGAAAAGAGGAAAAGGGAAGCAGGCAAACTGGCCTAGGTATACATAGCTAGATAGTGATGGAGTCAGCAGTATACAGTACCTTCTTCTTCTTATTATTATTTTATTTTATTTAACTTTATTTCTTTATTTTAATTTGACCAGAGAAGGACAGAGAGAGAAAGTGAGAAAGCAAGCCACCAGGCCCGGGATTCAAACCATAGTCAGCTGTGTGGGAGTCCAGCCACCATGCCACCTGCCAGTCCTAGCACATTCTGGTTTTTGTTCTTTTTCTTGTTATTATTGTTTTGTTTTGTTTTGTTTTGAGAGATTTTTAGGGCTTGTGTGCTCACCAGAAAGATAGACAGAGAGACAGAAAGCGAGAAATCATTCCCCCAGGAGGGACAGCCACACCTCAACCCCTTCTCCTCCCCTCTCCTTTCAGAATTTTGGGTATGCACACACACACGCTCGGTGTGAGTTAAGCTGCTGGGTCTGGGGCTCGAACCGTGGTTAACTATGTGGGAATCCAACAATGTAACCATTATGCTATCTGCTGGTCCCAGCACCTTCTGATTTTTAACAATATTTTTTTTGCCAACACACATCCCATATGGATAGATGAGGCAGGGGTGATACCTGTTTCAGAGCCTTTGACCAGTATCAGCTGCTCCCTGTAGGCATGCCTGGTTCTCTGACCTTCCAGCTGCTCACTGGCAGTGTTCTTGACACAAGTTCAGTGCACTCTGTGATGCTCTTTCATCTAACTTTTGAGAGGAAAAGTGGAAGCACTCTGAGTCACCTTAGACTCATGCTATTCCCCTACATCTCTTTTCTTTCCTTAGAATGGTAGAAAGACATTGATTTACATGGGCCATTAGGTCTTGAGCATTCATCTATCATTCATTCAGCAGGTATTAATTGGTTGACCATAATAGAATCTTGGGCACAAAGATAATGAGACTTCCCTTGCCCTCCAGGAACATGTGGTAGCTTCAGTTCTTACACTCTTGTTACCTTTTCTTAGTTTCATTATTTTCTTCTATCCATGTGTCTTTCTGTGCTCTTTCCTCTTCTAGATTCTGATCCGCAACCGAGTAACTGATTTAGATGCCAGGATGAATGATGGCACCACGCCCCTGATCCTGGCTGCCCGGCTGGCTGTGGAGGGAATGGTGGCAGAACTGATCAATTGCCAAGCAGATGTGAATGCCGTGGATGACCATGGTAGGGACAATGAGATAAGGGTTTGGATCCTTCCCTTCAAAGTATGCCTCTAAGGAGAACTGCTACACAGTCCTTAGAGAACTACCTGGATCTGCATCCACTGGAGATTCATTCATTTTTCTATTCCCACATTAATGAATTCATCCTTCAGCATATTGAGCTCAGAGGACTGAGCCTGCAGGAGGCTCCTAGATTAAGATGAGAAGGGTTTTTAGTGAGTATTCTTGGACTTCACAGCACATCCATGAATGGTTTGCCCAGGCAGGTTCCCAGGCATAACACTCTCAATATGAGGATTTATGATCACTGACTTCACTAAATAGACATTTGGGCACGTGATAGGTAGGTTGTTGTCTTCAGCTGCATGACAGGGTAGATTCTGCCACGCCAATGACATGAATACCATACACAAGTGATTCTTTTACCTAGAGGTCTTCTGAACGCTGGGCAACCTGGACTAAAGTATTCTGAGAACAGAAGGAAAAGAAATCATCACCTTGATTTTTCTCATAGGTACTCCAGGAGAACTGGCTTCCTGCCAATCTCTGGGGAGTTTAAGGTTTCCTTGTATAGCTCGTGGTTCTTCTTTAAATTAGGAGTAGGACAAGTCCTTGTGTGATCAGTCTTACAGAAATGCTCTTCTCCTGCAGGAAAATCTGCTCTTCACTGGGCAGCTGCTGTGAACAACGTGGAGGCAACTGTTTTGCTGTTGAAGAATGGGGCCAACCGAGACATGCAAGACAACAAGGTTTGTTCTGTAGCCCCTGCGGTTGAGTGTGCTCCCAGCAGTGCCTCAGTTAAAAGACCTGCCCGTTTTCTCATTGTAGCTTCTCCTTGGTAAACACAGAGATGGAAGCAAGTTAGCCAGGATTAGGGTCTAGAGAACTTGATGAAAGATATTGGACTTGTCCCAGGGACTATCAGGATTGAGCCTGCTGCCCACTCAGGACTCAGCATGCTCCAGGCTGTCCTGTAACAACCATGCCTTTTCTCTTCTCTGACACTTCCTTTCCTCTGGTTCTCCCTTCTGTGTGTACTCACTTCCTTTTCTCTTGTTTCTTTTCTTTTCTCCTCTGCTTTTTCTTTTTTTCTTTTTTTCTGTTTTTGGATACCATGAGGTTTTCTGTTGGTTTTTCTTCTTCTGAATTTTTGGTCACATTTCCCTTCTCCATTCATCTCATTTACTTCCTCCTTTCACTATTTTCAGTTCTTTCTTGTATATGTTTTGTTTCTTCTTTATTTTGCTCTCATCCTTAATTTTTCTAGTTCTGTGCATGCTTTAGTTTCTCCTCCTTCTCCTTTTCTCATTTTTAAGTCCTTGGCTCTTAGATCACTATTTTAGTAAACTCAGTACTTACTCTTTTAAGTGAGTCTCTGGCCCAGAACTGTGCTTTATTTCCCATATTCTCAACTGAGGAGAAATTGTCCCAAAGGTGTAAAGTTTATTCTTGGGGAGAGGTGAAATTACTCTTTTTATATAAGAATGTGAAAAAATCTTTCTTTTCTTATGTCTAAACTGCAGATACACATTTAATAAATGGGTAGATACACAGCGTATTTATGGCATGAACATCTCATGGGGTAGAAAACTTTGTGGGGAAGACAATTAATAAAGTCTAAGAGGATGGTAATTAAGGACTGAGGAACATTACTCTATTTTAATATGGTATTAAAATGTGTTCCTTGTGGCCATTTCTGTAGGAAGAGACACCTCTTTTTCTTGCCGCCCGAGAGGGGAGCTATGAAGCAGCCAAGATCCTGTTAGATCATTTCGCCAACCGAGACATCACAGACCACATGGATCGTCTTCCCCGGGACGTGGCTCGGGATCGCATGCACCATGACATCGTGCGCCTGCTGGATGAATACAATGTGACTCCTAGCCCTCCAGGCACGGTGCTCGCTTCCGCTCTCTCTCCTGTCATCTGCGGGCCCAACAGGTCCTTCCTCAGTCTGAAGCACACCCCAATGGGCAAGAAGCCCAGGAGGCCAAATGCCAAGAGCACCATGCCCACTAGCCTCCCTAACCTTGCCAAGGAGGCCAAAGATGCCAAGGGTAGTAGGAGGAAGAAGTCTCTGAGCGAGAAGGTCCAACTCTCTGAAAGCTCAGTGACCTTATCACCTGTTGATTCTCTAGAGTCTCCTCACACCTATGTTTCTGACACCACGTCTTCTCCCATGATCACCTCCCCTGGAGTCCTACAGGCTTCCCCCAACCCTCTGCTGGCCCCTGCTGCCCCCGCTGCCCCAGTTCATGCCCAGCATGCACTGTCTTTCTCTAACCTTCATGAAATGCAGCCTTTGGCTCATGGAGCCAACACTGTGCTCCCCTCGGTGAGCCAGCTGCTGTCCCATCACCACATTGTCCCCCCAGGCAGTGGCAGTGCTGGGAGCTTGGGTCGGCTACACCCAGTCAGCGTCCAAGCAGATTGGATGAACCGCATGGAGATCAATGAGACCCAGTACAATGACATGTTTGGTATGGTCCTGGCTCCAGCTGAGGGCACCCACCCTGGCATGGCGCCCCAGAGCAGGCCACCTGAAGGGAAGCACTTAACCACCCCGCGGGAGCCTTTGCCCCCCATTGTGACTTTCCAGCTCATCCCCAAAGGCAGTATTGCCCAGCCAACTGGGGCTCCCCAGCCTCAGTCCAACTGCCCTCCAGCTGTGGCAGGCTCCCTGTCCACCATGTACCAGATTCCAGAAATGGCCCGTTTGCCTAGCGTGGCTTTCCCCACTGCCATGATGCCCCAGCAGGATGGGCAGGTAGCTCAGACCATTCTCCCAACCTATCATCCTTTCCCAGCCTCTGTGGGCAAGTACCCTACACCCCCCTCACAGCATAGCTATGCTTCTTCAAATGCTGCTGAGCGAACGCCCAGTCATAGCGGCCACCTGCAGGGTGAGCATCCCTACCTAACACCATCCCCAGAGTCTCCGGACCAGTGGTCAAGCTCATCACCCCACTCTGCTTCTGACTGGTCCGATGTCACTACCAGCCCTACCCCCGGGGGTGCTGGCGGTGGTCAGCGGGGACCTGGGACACACATGTCTGAGCCGCCACACAGCAACATGCAGGTTTACGCGTGACAGAGTCTGCCTGCAGCTTAGGGACAGAACTGCCTCTCGTAAATGCTGCTGAGGATCAAATGAAGGTCATCCAGGAGAGAAATGAAGAAATCTCTGGAATCAGCTTCTGAAGGCAGGAGAGAGAAGATGTTCTTATCTTTCGGATCATGCAAGAGAAGCAATTTTGTCAGCTTTACTGGGTATCTGAAGGTTATTTTCTGTGGGGGTAGGGAACATGGCTCCTTCTAACCTCTCAGCCAAGCAGAGTTCATGAAGTGCAAGATGAATCCAAGCCTTGGGCCATGTTTGGTCTCTTCGGTTTGGAGGATAAGAAGGATGCCTGTTGTAACCCAGACATTCTTGCAACTCGAACTGCATGTTAAGCCCTGGGGGCTTCTGGCATATCCACGAGAAGATTCTACAGTAGAGTCCTTTTGGGAATTGTGCCCTGGAATTCTGCCCGAGTTGATCTAATCTTCTCGTCCTTGGAAACTTTTTTGACTTCATTTGGTGCTTTCATTTTTGCACCTCTTTGTGGTCGTAGCCCCATCAGCATATTGTAGGCCAAGACTTTTGTGCTTTTAATCATTCCT